CAAAATTTACGTCCGATTAGCCTCCTATCCACAACAGGAAAACTATCCCTGAAAGTATTCTGAAAAATATTCCAAAAGCACATTGAAGAAAGAGGTCTGCTTAACGCAGGCCAGCTTGGTTTCCGTGAACGTCACATAACAGAATAATAAAAGGGACAGGGTGGCCATCACTGATGTCCGCTAGAATTGAGTATTCACAGAAGTACACCATAGGATAAGAGCCGGGATAGTGCAGCTGGTATAGCAACTGGCTATGGGCTGGATGACCAAGGGGTATAGGTCCACGCATTCTTGATCTCTGTGATATAGGGAGGTGTGTGATCAGTTTCATGTCTCAGCCTTATATCTGAGGATGTAGCCTGCTGGGTTGCAGAGCTTAACTGGACACTGGAGAAGAGAGATTTCTGTAGTGTATATTAGTTTTATATGCATACACACAAGAAAGTAATATGATTAGTTTTGACATTTTCATGTCAATGAAAATTAAGATCATAATCATAAAGGTTATGACACTTTGGGTATTTGTCACTCTTTCAGGAATTTGCTGCCTTCATCTTTAATGTAGACAAATGAAGGCCATAGGTTCCTCCAAAATATTGGTAACTGTTCATAACTATGAAAGAGAATAATATACCATTTTGAATAAAGTAACTGTTTAGGCTTACATCACATTGTAATCAGTTTGTTAAGGTTTTGGAGACTTGATGAAAGTCTAATTTGAAAGCAAATTGTACTGAAGTCTGTTAGATAACTCTATTTTGTTAGCTTGAGAAATAAAATGTACACCAGCACCAAAATAACGGGCAAAAATGTTACCATGACACAATTCCTACTGTAAATTTAAAGCAACATTTTAATGTATCTTCACTCATTCTCTTTTTAGGGTTCAGATTGGTGCCCCTCGTGGTAATGATACCAAGCTGTATCCTGGTGTCATAGAACCAGGTGTGGTGTTCAGATGTCCTATTGCAGAATCATGTGATGCAGTAAAGTTTGATACTGCTCGTAAGTTTGCCAGTAAACTGATAATCCATCACTTTAGTTAATTGGGATGCTGTGATGTGTCATATCCCTAGTCAAGACTGGGTTCTTCAGTTTGTTCTAATGCATTTTATTGTATTGTATTGTATTGGAGAGGGTGGGTTTCCCCATGCACTTAAACCAACTGTTGGTCCATTGTGCGTCCCCCTATGATAGTCTACCAGTCTCTATTCCCTACCGGTACTGGTGCGTGTCATCAGTCCCGACTCGACCAGCGAATTCGGCCTCTAGTGGCTCAGCGGTATCTCGATGCTTCCCCCATCTACCAGAGGCGTTAGAGACTACTGTTGGGCGGGAAATGTCCTGAATTTAGCTCAGTGGTCTCCTTGGGACATGATGTTCTTTTACGTACTGTAAAGCTACGACACGGGACCCACGGCTTAAAGTCCCTCCCGGAGGACTTGTTCCCTGAATTTTTCCACCCTTAAAAATTCCACGACCTCTGCCGGGTTTGAACCCGCATACCTTGAGTCACGAGGTGGGAACGTTACCCCTAGACTACGGAGGCCGCTTAATGCATTTTAACTAATAATAAATGCACTTGACTTGTGGGCACAGTAAAACATTAAAGATATTGGTACTTTCTGATATTAATCTTTTGATTATTTAGATATTCAGTTACAGTACAGTATGCTTCTCAAAATAGAATTTAGAGGACATCAATTTTTTTAATTGCAAAAGAGATATTAAAAGATTTTCTAGTGAATAGTAAGCGCTGAACTTCATGGAATTCATTCTTCTCTCAGTGGAAATGCGAATTTATATTACATTATCCTCTTGAAGGAAAGGTTTTAAAAGTTCAATCACTCCAACAGATTCTCAGATTGATAGGGGCAGCCACAAACACAAATGTCAGCATGACACTGATTATCATGTTCAGTCATTGTAATTCTTACTTGTTAATTATTTTCATTGAATGTTTTCTTTTTATGTCACTGGATGAAATGAAAATTTACTAATTCTGGTGTGTGAATTGGTATACAGAAAATGAAAAGGAATATGGAAAAGGAAAATTGAAATACCAAGAACAAAAAAATGCAGCTTGGATTGGAGGAGCAATGGATATCCGAGAAGAGGAAGGGGATGTTGTTGTGAGTGCAACATATATACAAGTTTTGAATACCATATATTTTATAAGTTGTATGTCACAAGATCATCAGCAATATTATGAAATTTTTGGTTCTGACAGAGGTCAGAATTAAGATCACAGTCTATTGGGATATGATGCCTTGTAGTCTGGTATGTAAGTACCATTGCTTGTTCTCTCCTGAAGATAGAGGTGGTAGGGTCCATCAAAACATTGACGTGTATCTACCAAATTTGGTGGCAAGACATCCTGGAAGTCCATAATCTTATATTGAATATTGTATCTCAGTATTACTGTGATGTACAGTGCACGTATTTTAAATTTGAAGAATATGTAAGATTATGAATAATATTATTTCCTTTGATGTGACTCCATGTGGATCATTACTAACATATCAGAGGAACCTTCTGCCTCCTCCACCTTCAGGATAGAAGAGAAAGTCATTGGTAGGAAAGTAGCATGGATGTAGGGTATGGGAGTCAGGACAAGGTCTGTGAGCAAACAAATAGGAATAAGGAAAGCAGTTGTAAAGAATATTGGCTATTTAACATTTAAGAGCCTAGTGACACTGTATGGAGACCTTAAAGTGTAGCCGAGTGGCCGTGCAACACTGTATGGGTACGCACAGTCCATGCGTGCACACAGTGTTTTAAAATCTAATTTTAAGATAGAAATACTTGTTCTACTTACATTATTTTTGGGCACCCACTTTATAAGTAGACAGTCTTCCCTCCTGCATCATCTAACTGAATGCAGAGTCCGACGTCGCAATTCATGCACTTTGTCCAGATGTAACACCATTTCCCACATGAAGAGCGCACACGACACCTCACTCTCGTATTAGAGGAAGTCGGCCAGTGATGTCGAGTTGCCTCCTCTAATCGTAACGCTTATAAAGCATCACAATTTTAACTATCCACCATGGACGAAGCCAAAATTGCTAGGCCGCTGATAAATGACAGTGATTCAGAATGCGGTACAGATGACTCTGAAAGTGGCATGGAAGCAAGGGGGAAATGTGGGGCTATTCCAGGAACAGTACCTCTGTGTGGCTAGTCCAAGGTATACACAGTCAGAGTGTCTGAAGGACAGAGTACTATAAGACTTCGCCCACACTCGTGCATACAGAAAGGTTCCGGCATGACTGGAGAATGTGCAATACAAACATAAACTTCCACCCCTTTCGCCAGATAAGACATAGTAAGACAGGATGTCAGCAGCATGCACTTATACTGCAGAAACTATATGCATATTTGTGGACAGACACTCAAAATTGGGAAAAAAAATTTTGGAATCAGTGTAACAATTTTTACAGACTTTAAAATCTGTAAATTACAATATCTGATTCTATATTCTTTCTAGATAAAAGCAGCATTTATTTCGTTCGTTAATCACAAAAATTGTAGAAATCACAGCATTTTCAGTAACATGCTTACAATTTTTAATACTCTACAATGGTGGGCATTTAAATTAACTCCGGCCTGCTGCCATTACGGGAATTTAAGTGGCCCATCTCTTAAAGGTTAAAGAATCATTCTCCAAGGACAGAGTGACTGGGCAAAGTAATGATTTTTAGGGAATCGATAGGAGGTAAGAGGGAAGTCAAGAAGAAAAGAACAATGAAACAGTGCACCTCTTGTTGGTTTACTGAAACTCATTGTTTCTTCCAGTCACTCTACCCTTGTAAAGTGGCTCTTCGAAGGGCCAGTATTTCTTCATAGTTCTCCCTTCTCCTATTGGTTCATTCAGGATCCTGGTTCCATCCTCCCTGTCTCTATGGCTGTAACACATCTGTCCATCTGTCCATGCTTGGCTTACTTTCTACCATGAGGATGGAAATAGCAGGTTTCTCCAAAATGATTGTACTGATGTTCAGGACTGCATGGCANCGTTAGTTGTAGATCGTTAAATAAACCAATTAAACATCTCTACGGCGTCTTCGGTAACGCAAAACACGTTACATTATGTTAAAAGTGATTAAGACTACGTTTAGCAGTTTAAAAAAATGTGAATATTTATTATTGGTATTTGGTATCTTTCCTGCTTTTTAAATATTTTTAATCGAGAGGGATGGCAGATGCCTAGTATGCCCCCCCCCCAACTGGCATTCATGCATGGTGTCACATTCCAAAAGATAATAATCATCTTAGTCACAGCTAGTAGATTTCAAATCTTGAACGACATGTAATTATGGTTCTACAAATGTAAATTATGGCAGTGATACCTAATGTTCTCATACATGTTATCTGCTGTTGTCAGGTATGCTTCTTAAGGTAGTACTATATCAACCATTACTTTTGTGAATAATTTCCTTTTGTCACTGAACTATGCTCCGTGAAGCAGATAGTATCATTGATGCATAATGACTGGTGATCTGGTTGCTCTGTACTGTACTGTGCTTCTCAATTCTGCAGTTCAAGAGCCTGTGTAGCATGTTTCATATTGCAGTATGGGTTTGATCTGTGGAAGAAATTATATTAATTAAATGGTTTTAGGTGTGTGGTCATCGGTGGAGAAATACATACAAGAGGACTTCAATTGATTTCATGATTGGTGTATGTTACTGCTCAAAAATAGAGCAGAATATTTCATCTGCTAATGGTGTCTACAAATTATTGCCTCTGCTTAATCAAGGTAATAACTGATGCTATAAAGAAAATAAGCTACAGTCAGGAGTACTATCTTCTGGCATGTGATGCCATGCAAACTGGTACAAGTTTACCAACATTCATGTGAAACATGGCTAAATTTCTGCATGGCATCGCATCCTAGATGATAGTGCTTTTCCCAGTCTCAGCTGTGAGAATCCCAAATTCAACAAGATGCAGTCACATTTTAAAGGCTGTGTTTCTCACCATATCCGTAGCTACACAAGTGTTTTGTCAAAATAAAGTTTCTACTTCCCGAGGATAGCTGTCTTCTCATATGTGACATTTTGTAATCTGGTCTAGAGTTACCTAAGCGTTGGAGGAAACTGTTGCCTTCATCTTCAGGGTAGAAGAGTAACTACACTGAAGATGGAGACAGCACATTCACCCAAGATGTTGATAAATATCTACCAGCTTGTATGATGACAGTACTCTCCTGTGAGATTTGGGGATCTGCTGCAGGTGACTGTGGAGATTGCCAGAAGTAGCATCTAATTTACAGCTTTTTGTTTCTTACAGGAAAAACTTATGGTCTTTTGTATGCAGAATGCAGACTTTTAGTATGTTAAAGCAACTGCTGCATGTAGAAGCAATGGGCTTTGAAAGGTTAATGTTCCTATTAGACATTTCACTTATTCAGTTTTATTGGTTAGAGCATAAGAAATACATGATGGCCGCAGAAAGAGAAGCTACCCAAGCAAAAACGAGAGCCATCGAAGCAAGTACAGCCACCATATGTCTAGAAGAGGAAAAGCCGGCCACAGTGGACACAAAGCCTGCGGCGGCACAACAAGAAGAGGTCCCCTTAGTAATATCGGTCGGAGTGACAATGGCCTGCCAAGAAATGGAGGCACGTCCAGAAGAAGAGCCGGCCTCAGTGGACAGGAAACGTGAGGCGGCAGAACAACGAGAGGTACCTGTAAAAGACGCTGAAGTAATGCCGGTCGGAGGACCGAAGAAGAAAAGGTGTAGGGGCCGAAAACGACGAAATATGAAGAATCTGCCACGGGAAAATTGCAGACCCCAGAATAAATTGGCCGTCGTCCACAGAAAGGTGTCCCACCATGCAACAGTGGCATGGCGTCAGAGGAACATCTGCAATAAATCTCGGACCCGCAGAAATTATGAATCCCGGATGAAGTTGGCTGCCACCTGCTGGAAGACATCTCGTGTCGCGACAGTGGTACGACATTGGAGAAATGCCTTCAGAAGGAAACTCCCCAGGGAACCTTCAGATGCCAGTGGAAAGAAGTGACCACCATCAGAATAGAGATTACATTCTGTGCAGGACACAGGCATATGGGACGAAAAGCAGATGATGTTGAGAAGAAACCTGGAAAGGAAGAACTGGGAATAAAGAACATAGACGGCAGACAGCCGCTATGCCAGAAGAAAATGGTGCCAACCAAGGAAGCCATCGGAGGGTGTAGATCAGGAAAGCAATTGCACCTACGAGAGAGAATTTGTAAGAAGACCATCTACGAGTTTGTCAGCATGAAGATCGCAAAGCGAATGGTCAGATCTTCTGTCGGATTACAAAAAAACAAGGAATTGAACTTATGGAGGGGTCAACCCCCTCCAAAGTGGAAAAAGACACAATGGATAGAGGAGGAACCGGTAATGTAGAAACACCGGCCTCCCTAGCAAGAATGAATGAAGGCTGAATGAGCGACGAATGAATGTGATACAACTGGATCTTCAGGCACTTAACAGGAAACCGCTCGAGACGAGCTGGTCTTAAGAGGGGGAGCTGCGAGGAGTAGCCGAAACAGGAGACGCAGAAAGCACAGCCTCCAAAGAAAAGGAACGGGGGTGCACCGTTTGGCTATTCGGGACGAACAGCCTTAAGGAGGGAGCAGTGTGACATGTTGCACAATGGAGGACAACCCTTCCATACCCAGCAGCGACGTGGCGGGTGAGTCAGCGCTCCATTGTTTCCCCCCTCCACGGTGATGTAACATGCAATGCAGCTGTGACATGGGTAACAGCCAACAGCGGTACCAATTGCATAACAGGCGGGCGCTGCAACTATATAAGGGAACTACACAGCCGCCGGAGTCAGTTAAAGTGTATCAGCCCCCGAAGTGAGTTCTCAAGTCAGCAGTGAACGAGTTAGTGTGTGATAATCAGTGACAGTTTGTGATAACTGAGAAGGTATTGGGAGTGAGTAATTAAGTTGCACTTGTATAACTCCCGCGTTATAAATACGTGCAGACTACTGAGGAAAGAGTGAATGATTAGTGCATAGGGTTTGTAAATTGTGGAAACCCATAACAGTGTTGTAATTAATTGTAGCCAAGACTTGTAGGTTGTTAAATAAACCAATTAACAATCCGAACGGCGTCTTCAGTAGCAAAACACGCTACAATATTATTGTGTATGCGTAGGGAAGTCCAAATGCTTTTTAAGTCTACTTCTGTATTTTGAAAACAAAAATAAAATTAGGCTTATAACATCATCTTTCTCTATGTCTGTGTATGTATCCCCCCCATCGTTGCTAGGCTACGGGTTGGTAAACACATGCCCCACAACAACAAATACACACTACAGTTGAAGAATTGTTGGACACATCGTTTTCTGTGTGATGTGTATCATATCAGAGGAATGTAGGCAATTAGTTCTTCCCAGAAATTCTTATTTTATATATTAAATTAATTCCAAACTTTGAAGAGTTAATTCTGTGTAAGAAAAATACTTGAATCCTATTTTTGCTGATATGAGTTGTGAAAAGTTTTTTATTGAAGATGGATGATTTGCCAATTGAAAGCTTCAGCAGAATATCTGAGAATGGAAGCAACTGATATATAAACATTGACTGCAAATGATGTACAATTTTTATTACTGCATTTCTTGAGATATTTAAGCTTAGTGTGATGCAGGGGTCATTTAATGCCCACTCCTTTAATCTGATCTGAATTTAGCGTTGAGTTCTGTGCACTCACTAGCATGAAATAAGCAGTTTTTTCTCCCCCTAAATTAAAAGTTTTTCAAAAAATTACATTTAAATCCATATATAATATGTGTTGAATCTGTATTGTTATAGATATGTATACTGCTCTTGTGAATAAGCAGCATGTAGCGAACTATGCGGTGGGTCAAGCAGGGATGTCTGTTCACTTCCCTTCACATAAGGTTTGTACATGTCACATTCATAGATATCTGATAATGTATGTGTGGTAGTAAATTCATGGTTGAAGGTTGTACAATATGAGCCAATTCATAACGGTCCATCAAAAATTAGACCTCCTGTCTTCTGAGATATCATGCCATGTAGTCTGGTAGATATTTAGAAACATTCGATGTTTTAACCACAATCAGTCAATCCCCTCTACAGTGAACAAATACATAATTTTATTAATTTCATACCAGGAAAAATAATGGACATTTTAAGAGTAATATGGTTTAGGATGTGATGCTGTGTTGTGTGGAAGAATTTTAACATCCTCCCACTATCTTCAGCTGTGCTTGCTGCTCATGTCTTGGTAGTTGCTTGATTATCTTACTCCTAGACCCAGAAGGTGCAAGCAGTACATTAATGTGAAACATCAGTGAACTTCCACTGGACTACATGTCACATCCCAGAAGATAGTAATGTAATACCATTCATAAGTCACTGTTTTGGAAACCTCAGATCCAAACTGGATCTTTAAAGTTGAATTTGATCTAGGCAGAATTGGCCATCAGTGCTGACATGCCTTAAAACCCACTCACACAAACAAACACACAATAAGCATACATTTTACAAAGAAGTGAATATGGATCTTAAAATCTGCAAGCGAAGAGACCGTGAGAACCAGTAAAAGCAGACTGGTATTGGAAATATACACAGCTATGTATAGCTATGATTTCTTATATTTTTTCTTCTACCCTGAAGATGGAGGCGATACGTTCCTCCGAAACGTAGGTTAACACCACATATACATGGTGCCAAATCCCAGAAGACTGCTTTCTTCATAGTCACTGCCGTGAAAGCCTCAAATCTTACATAGTATAATAATTGTCTGTTTTTCAAATAAGCCTTCATTTCGTGATGTTAGTTCTGTGAAAGACATCCCTGACCTTTTCATATGCATGACCTTAAATTTTATTTTTGAGCCTTTTAGTATTTTATGAAGGAAAAAATGTTGCATGGTCAAATACGTTTGAAGAACACTGTACTATATGATTCATCAGTTATTCTTGAGTATTTCATAAATCATTTTTATTATTTGTATATTACCCAAATAAAAGTAATCATGATAGCTCAGCCAATACAGTGATTAGGCTACAGAGTGGAGGACCAGGGGATCATGATTCCCAGCCTTGAGACTGTCACCGGGGCCCATTCAGCCTCATATCCAATTGTTACCCAAAGTAAAGCACTCCACTATGCTGTCACTCACCTGCATCTAGTGTTGAGGTTGAGAATGCATAGAACTATATTTTCACTCTCCATATATCTTCGTGTTTTGATAATTAATTAAGTATGGGGACGACTTCACCTTTACTTTACCTGCCCAAAGAAAATACAGATTACTGTCCTAATTTTATTTTCTTCCAGCCACAGAATAGGTCAGAACTACTGATTGGTGCACCTGGAGTATATCTTTCTAGAGGTTAGTATATTAATTATTTCCTAATGATTACTTGTGCATTTATTAATGGTTTATTTAATTATTCTGTCAGGAACTCAAATTATATAGCATTGAATAACTGCATGGTTAGTGAATAATGAACTGGAGATGACGCAGAAGGAAGTGATTATGGCTTAATTTGAGGTACAGTCCTGGCATTCTCCTGAAGGGAATGAGGAAAATTACAGAAAACCTTGGTGAGGATTGTGGTCTCTGGGCTAAGATTTGTGGGATAAAATGACACACATGAAAACAAAAATATGTTTTATCATAAAATACTATACCTAGACAAGACTGTACATTATTTCTCTTATATAAAGATGCACCAGTTCTTTTCACATTTTACTTTTTATTTCATTTTTTGTGCAGGTTCTTTCTTGAGACACTCCTAACTGCTCAGTGGTCAGGAAATTTCTCACCTTTTATAGAACAGGATTTGCTGCTGTGTTCACATGTGCCTGCTACTGAAAATTATCCTGAACCAATTAAATACATTTCCCACCCTCACCTCACAACCTAATTCTAAATTCTAATATTATCCTCCCATTTGCAATTTTGTCTCTGAAGAGGTTACTGAGTTCATTCTTTCTTCACATTGATTTTTTCTAATGTCATTGGAGTTACATTTCAATTTTTCAGCTTCCATGAACTTAAAAATATTGAGAATCATTTTGGATCTTAGTTTTGGCACTGTTTGTATATAAATTTGTCAAGGGTTAATGAAAAAGAATATGCAGCACTAGAGGGTTGCTGTTTTACAAAATAATGAGTAATATATTTTCTTTATTGCAGGAGCATCTATTCATTATGCAGTATTTCAAGCAACAGACTGGAGTGTGACTGAGCAAGATACTGTAAATATAAGAGGATTTTCCAAAATGAAATATTTTGGTTAGTTGTACATACTTCCACAAAGAGGCATGTAGTTAATTAGTATAAGTATAGTCAAACATTTATTTGATAATTTAACACTGTAAAAGTAGTAATAATTAATTGTGAATGGGAACAAGCCAGAGAACCTAATCCATCAAGGTAGAAGAAGAAGGTAGTAATAAAAGACTGTGTTCATTCACCATGCCACTGTGTGTAATTAATCTGAAGGTAAACAGGAAGGGAGTGAGAAAAGATATATATTTTTATATTTGATGCCTTGATAATTTTCTTTTCTCACTTTTCACGCTCTGCATACTGAATAGACTGACTCAGAGTACTTCACACTGGAAATGCTACAGCTGAAGAGTTGGACTCATTAATCGATTAATACAGAATCTCTGTCAAAAGATGGGATCAAATGTGACATACTGATGTCTAAAGGAAAGGACAGGCTTTCACATGACCTATACTTGGTGTTGTTAGAGCATCATTTGAGGAGTACTCTTGAGTTTTCAGTGCAACCGTGTTTGTTCCAAGTGGCTTTGACATTACTATATCCTCAATGGCAGGGCTTGGCAGTCAAAGGATTAAACACAATCCCATCATTTAAGTTTCCTCCCTAGCAAAGAAACACTTTCTGACGTCTGTCAACATGTTACAAGAAATTGCTTCCTGTCACATATTCTTCTGTCATAGTCAACATAAAATATTGTATCCTGATAATAAGCTGAACCCAAGAGCACAGCGAAAGACCAAAGAGCTGCCACACAAATTTATTTTGTTGACCTTATCCAAGTGTTATTACCATTTTGTCAGTTTATATGCAGTTAAAAGGTTATATGATGTGTCCTCTAGATTCCCATGCAAATAGGGAATTTATTTTGGGATGTGACACTGTGTAGGCTGGTGGAAGTACATTGATATTGTGGATGAACATATTATCTCCATCTCCAGGTTCAAAAAGTAATCCAAACAAGTAATGGGCTCTCAGCTTGCTGTATACTTCTTGCTGGTTGGCTTGCTTTTCGACCTAAAAAATGAAGGCAGTTTGTTCCTCTTAAATATTGGGAACTTCTGCTACACTACAGGGCATCACATCCAAAAAGATGGTACTCTTCATATTTATCACTGTGAGAACCTCTCATCAAATAGAAAATTCCGTATTTATTTCAAATGATAAAAAGTGGGCCTTTAAGCCTTAATATAACTTAATGTGATTTAATTGATTTCACCTTCACATCAGGTTCCAAAAGAATGTCACTGCATAAATCAGAATGGTTAATAATTATGTAATTGTATTACAAAGCAAGATATTGGCATGCTTTAAGGGTTTCGTGATGTAATTATTTTTGTATATTTAACTGAATGTATTAAGTAATTTAAAACAAATATTAATCAAATAATATTAAAAACATTGCAATTTAGAAACCTGAAATAGCAAAGAAAGGTATTAAATAATCGTTTATACCTGTTGCAGGTTATCAAGTCAGTTCTGGAGAGTTCTTTCATGGCAAAAGGTTCTATGTAGCTAGTGGCCCTCAAGGTGCAGATAACAAGGGGAGTGTAAGTTTATATTTGGTTGATACACTGTTTATTACTCAGTGTGGTGGGATAGAACATGAGAGATAGCTGAAGATAATTCTGAAATACCATATCCTTTTGAGAAGTGAAATAAACTGAAAAATAAAATATATTATATGAAATTAACCAACTAACTAATTTCTTTGAGCTGAGCTTTCTTGTAAAGCTGCCAATTGTGTAGCTGCTCAAGAGCTTCCCAATTAATGGAAGCTGAAGGTTCATTACCATGTTCACAAGAGCCCTCCACTGGTCCCTATCCTGAGCCAGATTGATCCATTCCATATCACCCCATCCTATCTCTCTGAGATCCATTTTAATATTATCCTCCCACCCAAGTCCTTGTCTTCCTAGTGGTCTCTTTCCTCCTAGCTTTCCGACCAATATTCAAGATGTATTCCTCTTCTCCACCATTCGTGCTACATACCCTGCCCATCTCATCCTCCTTGACTTCATCATTCTAATTATACTTTTTTTTTATTGCTAGTGGGGTGGGACTAAGTCCCTTGTACTGCAGCCACTTCTGGCCTATTGTATCAGCCTCAGATGATAGGTGAGGGTGATTGTGGAGCAATTGGTGAATGAAGATGGGCAGGGGAAACCAAAGTACTCGGAGAAAACCTGCCCCAGCGCCACTTTGTCCACCACAAATCCCACTTGACCAGACCCGGGATCGAACCTGGGCCACCCTGGTGGGAAGCCAGCAACTAACTGCTTGAGCTATGGCATGGCCCTTCTAATTATACTTGGCAAAGAGTACAAGTTATGAAGCTCCTCATAATGCAGTTTTCTCTAACTTCCTATCACTTCATCTCTCTTTGATCCAGATATTCTCCTCAGTACCCTGTTCTCCGACACCCTCAGTCAATGTTCCTTCCTTAATGTCAGAGACCAAATTTCACGCCCATACAGAACCACAGGCAAAATTGTAGTTCTGTATATCCTAATTTTTGTTTTTAGACAGCAAATGAGAAGACAAAAGGTTCTGGACTGAATAAGGAAAGTAAATATCTAAATAGAAAACAGAACAATTAGAATAAGTAGACCATTAGAAGGAAAAACTATTAATATATTCTCCCTTTTTATTCTTCAGAGTTCAGTTTCACATAATACTGCCTATCCCCATTTATTTGGTCATGAGACTGGAGCCATTGTGTTTAGTTTTATTCCTGTGCTATAATAATCTACAACACTGTTTGTCAAACCAGGATTTATTCCATGAAATTTCATGAACTCTGTCACAATTTCAGGTATATATTTATAGAAAAGAAGTGGGTGTACCATATATGGTAAAGAAGACTTTGGTTGGGGAAAAGGTTGGTGAGTTTTTTGGAGGAAGCCTTGCAGTAGCAGATGTTAATGGTGATGGTCTGGATGATCTGATAGTTGGAGCACCCATGTACACCATTTCACATGATGAGGGCCGAATTTATGTCTTTATAGCAAATTCACAGGTAAGATATATTCTGGTAAGTATTGAGGATGAGAATGATGGTGATGGTGGTGGTGGTGGTGATGTTGAGGAGGAGGAGGAAGAGGATAACAACTATGATGACGATGACAGTAGTGACTGTATCGGATTTTTCTATCCAGTCACTAGGAAAGTTATGATTAGTCTTCTGAGATGTGGTACCATATAGTCTGGTACACAGGTGGAACCTGCTGCCCCCATTTTCAGAATAGATGAATGAACCTAGCAGTATATGACATAGTGACAGATGACCAGGTTGCATTGGTTCATCCACAGCCTTAATTCCAATCCTCCATATCCTATATCACATACCCCTTTTTCACTATTCCTCCAGTGTTCATTGCTGTCTACCAGACTACATGGTATCACATCTCAGAAGGCATTCATTTTCATTTACACTAAGCTGGAAGATCACAGGTTTTATTCCCGATGAGGTCACTCATGTTTTTCAATTGATCTAATCCTTCCAGCCACACTATGACCCTGGGGTTGACTCAGCCTCTAACAGAATTGAGTACCAGGAATCTTCCTGGGGTAAAGGACGGCCAGCCAACATGTAAGGCTGACAACCTCACTGCCATCTGTTAGTTGATTGTCTAGAAAATGTGGGAGCCTCTACATCTCACAACCCTATGGGCCTCCAGGGCCTGTTACAGGGATAGCCTTTCCTTTTTTACATTTTTTTGCTGTAAATGACATTTTACAATTTCTGAGACAATTAAACAGAATCAAGTGAACATGCCAGAATTGTTATGTTGCATGTTCATTTCATAGCTTGAAGTGTGCAGTCTGCTGGGTCTGGCAGAGTCTGACATTTTAGAATAATACGCTGCCTCTGGCATGTCGGCTTCTCTTTGAACTACATGGTGTTACAACGCAGAAGACCATATTCATAATCACTGTCATGAAAATCTCAAACCCACCATTTTATAACTTGTTTAAGATCCATTTTACTGCCTCTAATTTGATAAGATCTCTTCATTTAACTTATTTCCAGTCTACAATGTTTAGTAAAGCACAGAAGATTGATGGCAGAAACCAGGGTGCTCGATTTGGAACTGCAGTTGTTGCAGTGGGTGATCTGGACAAGGATAAATTTGCTGGTGAGTTATACAAATATTCTGTTGGGATTTGATGCCATTGTAGTTTTGCAGACTGGTACCAATCGACCAAAATGCATGGCATCTCATCCCATCCATAATCTATAAATATCTTGTAAGATTTTAGGTTTTCACAGCAGTTACTATGATGAAAGCAGTCTTCTGGGATGTGACGCTGTGTAGGTATTGTGTTAACCGATGTTTCGAAGGAATGTATCGCCTTCATCTTCAGGGTGAGCAATCCGTGAGCACTTGTTCTTGCCAGTTCCTTGCTTGCGGAGTTTCTTCTTCTTTCTTCTACCCTGAAGATGGAGGTGATACATTCCTCTGAAACGTTGGTTAACAATATCTACACAGTGCCACATCCCAGAAGACTGCTTTCCTTTTTAAATATCTTGTTTTAAAAAATGCTGTGTGTAAAATATATAAGTGAAAACCCCATCCAATATTCAGTCATCTGGAATTCTAATAAAAACAGCAAAAATTTCAAAGATAAATTGCCATTTTTATAAAGTTACTCAAAATTTGCAGTTCACATATGTTCACCTGAGAGGTGGTATTTCTCCCAATCATCCCTAGCAACACTGCCTAGTGTTCTCCCTCATGCAGGTGCCTTTATAGTAGAGGGTAGTTGAATATGTGATCATGTTGCAATATTTTTTATCTCAAATCTTTCTTCCATCAATCCATTATATTGTCTAGGAAGACTGCAATGCCAGAACAAAAAAGGAAACATGATTTAACTTTGTGTTGGGGTTCTGTAAGAGTTTTGTCATGCATCTGACAGAATCATATACTGGCAAATCCCACTCTCCTTACATGCTGGATAACAGGGAGTTTGTTCTACCTTTTTATGCCATTGTTTTTTTTTTGTATAATTAGATATTGCAGTGGGTGCACCTTATGAAAATGGCAATATTGGATCTATCTACATCTACAGTGGTAGTACTTTGGGTCTAACACTAACTCAGAAAATTATGGCACAAGATATATCTTCAAACCTTAGAGGATTTGGTATCAGCATTGCTCGAGGAGCTGACATTGATATGAATAAGTATGTTGGTAAGTGTTTTGACATGTTCCATAATTTTGGGAGGATAGAGAAGCTCAGAATTATACATGAACTTGTGATAATATGGTTAAACTATAAATAAGTAAGAAAAGTATGCATGGCAATGAATTTAATTTTTCAGATATTGCAGTTGGTGCATTTCAGTCTGGACATGTGGTTTTATTCAGGGCGTACCCTGTGGTTTATTTTCAAACAACAGTTCATACTGACGTCCATCAACTCCATGGAAATGAGACATATTTCAATATTACTGTGTGCCTTTCTTACATAGGAAAGGATGTTCCCAGTTCTCTTAGTAAGTGAAAACTTCATTGTGATAATACCCCTTCACTTATCATTTCTTTTGTTTACTTAAAATTTTATATTATAGGTATAGTGCAAGTGCAGGGTTGAATTCCTCGACAATTTGAAGTATGAAATTTATGTAAACAATATTTAAAAATTCATTTCATACCTTTCAGAATGCCCACTGCATCTCCAATTTAAAGACCAATTGGTTGTTGCCCTTTGGAAATGATTGTGATTTATTTTAAGAATCATACAAAACCCATAAATACAATTATGGACAAAATGAAGAGTTCTTGAATGTGTCCAGACATGAAGTCTTTCATTGTTGGAAACAACAAGATGTCACTGCAGGGCCTGTGTACACATAAGTTCTGCCCCAGGTGACAAGAAATTTATTCTTCAGTCATCATATCACTGCTTTCCTTGTCAATATCACAGTATATAGAATCCAAAACTTTAAGATCTTAATCATGTAAATTAAAATGTAAGATATAAAAATTTATATGAATAAAGCTTTAAGATTGAGATAATACTCAGATTACAAAATTATAGTTTGCTCATGCAATTAAAAGGACAACTAGAAGTGAGGATTTGAACTGCATCCAAGAACAAGAATACTTACATATCACTTTACAGCAGCAGCTACTGTACATATTGACAAGATTATGGCGTAAGTTTCATTAAATCTTTTGTGTTCTCTGTGAGTCTGCTGTAAGAAACAGAAAACTGATTGGAATATTACATTTTTGATATGTATATTAGATGAGGAAGTATCAGAAGTTTTATTATGTCACCTAAAGTGTAGTTCCTTATTTATGAATGTAAATACTGTTTTAATCTGTTTCAGATGTAACTAGGGAAATTATATTAGATGAAAAGCTCCATAGAGCCTCTATTTCAGGTGTAAACAAACCTTACAGACATTCTGTTATTGTTCCTGACAGTGGAAGATGTGAAGCCTTCAGAATTTACTTGAAAGTAAGGGAAATGAGTATGTTGTTACTTGTGTCTCACAGATAAAAAATATTAACATGAAAATAATTAAAAGGAGATATGTATGTTAAGATGAGAGTAGCATAGACTGAGGGTGCTGAGCAGAATATTTGGTTTGAAGAAGGGTGAAGTGATAGGAGGTTGGAGAAAACTGCACAGTGAATAGTTTCATAACATAACATACTCTTTGCCAGATATAATGGGACTGATCAAGTGAAGGGGGATGAGAGGGGCAGGGCATGTAGCATGCATGGGGAGGAAAGGAATGCGTACAGAATTTTGGTGGGAAAGCCAGAAGGAAAAAGATCACTAGGAAGACCTAGACATAGGTGGGAGGATAATATTAAAATGAATCTTAGAGAGATATGGTGGGGTGGTATGGACTGGATTGATCTGACCTAGGATAGGGACCAGTGGAAGGCTCTTATGAACACAGTAATGAACTTTTGGGTCCCATAAAATGTTTGAGCAACTGGCAGCTTCTCAAGAAGTGCTCAGCTCCATGGAGTTAGTAATGTATGTTAATATTACCCATAAAGGGCTTGTGAATTCTGATCTGTAGCGTGATGTCAGAACAGATAATGGTCTACTAAATAATGTACAGATTCAACAGTATTCAACTAAATCACTGTACGACAAATGATTTATCTATATGTATAGTTCAACTGCCTTGGCATAGAGTTACTTTGTTCTTTCAAACGCAGTTAAAATCGTAGATGGATTTAGAATAATTTGTATCTATATTTTCTGCTGTTTACTGACAAAATATTTCTTCATTGTTTGTGTGATATGTATATTAGCATACTCCATTTTATTGCTTAGTGATTACATTCTTTTGTTTTTGAATGAGTTGATAGTAATAACTATTTTTGTTTACTTCCTGTTTTCATCAGATTGTTTTAAGAAATGTACAAAAATAAAAATAACAAAGCACCCACCAAATTGATCAACAATTGAAATGTCAGTACTGTAATATATGTTCACTTTGCCCACGTAATTAAGCAAGTGTATGTACTTCACTGTTACAGAGGGCACATTTAGAACAGCACCTTCTTGAGCCTATCAGTATAAGGGTGAGTCAGAAACTGATCAGAAGTGAAGAAATTAAAACATTGCTCTTGGTTGGAAGAAATATTTCACAGGGTAAGTGTGGATTCTCCTTCACCCCCCATATGACATGCTATATACAATTTAATGATTTGAGAGTGAATAAAATGCAGTCAACGAGTTCCATTACATATGAAATAGGGCGTTCCGTTAATAATGCCTCCTATTTTTTTGTATTAATATGTAACGTCTGAGATAGATATTGGTGGTGTTGTAGTAAAGGTTGAACCTTCCTGCCAATCTAAGGTTAGTTTGGTTGTCGTGCGACAGATAGCGACAGCAGAGCAGTCTACCAAAATGGTGTCTGACATAGAAGTGCGTATGAAACACAAATGTGTTATTGAATTTCTCACTGCCAAACAAATTGTACTCACTGACATCCATCGACACTTGCTAAAGGTGTACGGAGACAATACAGTGGAAGTCAGCACAGTGAGGTGGTGGGTAGTGCATTTCAACAGTGGCGAAAGTGAAGTGCACAACAAGCCAAGCCCTGGGCGTCCCTGCTCAGCTGGCACTCCTCACAATGAACAGCGCCTCATCCATACAGATCAGCAGATAACGACCAGGGACTGTCAATTCTGAACGCTACAAGACGATGCTGGCTAAGCTGAAAGCCTGCAATTCCCGAGTCAGGCCAAAGAAGCAGACAACCTTTTGCTTGCAACACGATAACTAGACTAGACTAACTAGACTAACANACATCCATCGACACTTGCTAAAGGTGTACGGAGACAATACAGTGGAAGTCAGCACAGTGAGGTGGTGGGTAGTGCATTTCAACAGTGGCGAAAGTGAAGTGCACAACAAGCCAAGCCCTGGGCGTCCCTGCTCAGCTGGCACTCCTCACAATGAACAGCGCCTCATCCATACAGATCAGCAGATAACGACCAGGGACTGTCAATTCTGAACGCTACAAGACGATGCTGGCTAAGCTGAAAGCCTGCAATTCCCGAGTCAGGCCAAAGAAGCAGACAACCTTTTGCTTGCAACACGATAACTAGACTAGACTAACTAGACTAACACTAGACCCCATACAAGTTTGGCGACCACCGTGCACATTGCAAAGTTTTGCTGGACTGTCCTACCACATCCACCTTATAGCCCCGGTTTAGCACCTTCAGACTACCATCTCTTTGGGCCTAAGAAAGATGGACTACGTGGGCAACACTTTCCAGACAATGAAGCTGTCATTGCAGCTGTAAGAAAGTGGCTAGCCTCTGCTGGCGCAGACTTTTACAGGCATGGCATACAGGCTCTTGTTAATCACTGGCAAAAGTGCATAACGAATGGTGGTTCCTGAAATTTGAATTTTGCGCGCGAACGGTTATGAGTATATTGAAGTACCACTAGGTGTCTCCCCACACACCCTTCTGGAATCAGTGTGGCAAGCGGCATCGAGTTGAGTGGTTGGGTTTATTGTTGGTGAACGTATTTCCATTGTTGTGTTTCCATGAGTTTGCGGTTTTGCGATGGTTGACCTGAGAGAGCAGTGTGTGTGTGTGTGTATAAAGTTTTGTTTGAAACTTGGGAAAACCACTTCAGAACCACACCAAATGTTGAAGTAAGCTTTTGGTGACAACAGTTTGGCCAGACACAAACTTACGACTGGTATAAGCATTTAAAAAATGGCCAAACATCGATTGATGATGACAATCGTTCAGGACGGCCATCAACTGGCACCACAAAAAAAAATGTCGCGAAAGTTAGGGATCTGATTCTGCAAGATCATAGACTGACCATCCAAGACCTCTGTAACACCTTGGGACTAAGTTATGGTACATGTCAACGAATTTTGTCAGAGGAACTGAACATGAGGATTGCGGCAAGGTTTGTGCCACAACTGCTGCAAAATGAGCAGAAGGAGCTTTGCTTGGAAGTCTGCAGGGAACTTCAACAACAGCTTCAAGAGGATCCAAACTTTCTTTTGAAGGTTGTCACTGGTGACGAAAGTTGGGTTTATGGCTACGACCCTGAAAGTAAGCAATCGTCCCAATGGAAGAGCCCTTCTCCTCGGCCAAAAAAAGAAGCGTGACAAGTCAAGAGCAACATTAAGTCCATGTTGATCTGTTTTTTTTATTTTGACGGGATTGTTCATAAGGAGTTCATCCCTCCTCGCCAGACAGTCAATAAAGAGTTATATCACGATGTTCTAAAATGTTTGAGGGAGGACATGAGGAGAAAACGTCCAGAGAAGTGGCACACGAATGACTGGGTACTCCACCCTGACAACGCATGACCGCATACAGGGTACATTGTGCAGGAATTTTTGGCTAAAAACAAGATGGCAGTTGTTCCCCACCCACCGTACTCACCAGAATTAGCTCCATGCGAATTATTTTGCTTCCCCAAGATGAAAATCAAGTTGGAGGGGTGAAGATTTGATACAGTTGAGGAAATTCAAGTGGAAATGCAGACAGTACTAAACACCCTAAGAAAGAAAGACTTCCAGGATGCATTTCAAAATTGGCAGAAACGCTGGGATCGGTGTATGCGCTCCCAAGGGGACTACTTTGTAGGTGATGGTGGAAAATAAGATCTAGGTAGGATGTAATAGTTTTTATTAATATATTTCGGGAACTTTTGGGTTGCACCACGTATAGTAAGACAGTTGTAACAGGTACATAGAATATGTTAATTGTAATCTTGAATGTATTTATTCAGTTATTCAAATTCATACAAATTGCAGTTATGTTCCAGGCTTTCTGTTATAATGAGGTCACTGTGGTGAAATGACAGTCACCATAATCATCATCATTGGCAAAACAGCCCTTTCTTTGTCAAAGACTTCCTTAAAAGAATCTGCTAGATTTGTTTGAATTACACCATCCAATTTTCACATCTTTGGATTTTGCAACAGTAATTTTTACAGAGCAAGGTCATCAGCCTTGCATTCAACCCCAAACTTGGAGGACCAGGTCTCTATATTTATGTCCCCTAGTTACAGGATGGCCCAGTTACACCCACAAGCAGTGGGTACCCTTTTTATCACTTTCTATGACATGCAGGGCAACAGTGCAGGTATTCTAACCCACCTCCACATGGGACATGGGACAGTGATCATAATGGTAATTTTATTTCCACATGTTCATTTATTGTATGTTGTTTTAGAGCAGGATACATTCAAGAAATATATTCCTGTTGTAAATGAAAAGCAGTCCATCAGCCATATGCAGATAAACATACCCTTTGCAACTGGTTGTGGTGAGGACAATATTTGCATCTCTGAATTACATCTGAAGTCCAGCTTCTCAAGTTTAATGTATGTACACTGTTATTTGTTACTCACCTTTAATTAGTGCCAAGGTCAAGAATACACAGATCCATACATCCACTTCCCCATACGTCTTTATGGTGTAGTGCTTAATTAGTTAAGCACAGGGACATCTTTAACTTTTTACTATACTGTTCTTTATTAGAAAACTATTCACACTAATTAATCATGTAGTTTACAAACTTTCTTAAATTCCACTTATTGCGTGATGTATGTATGCAAATATTACAGTGAAATACCCATAAAGTTTTGTTCTGTGGATATGTATGTAATTTTGTATTATGTGTCACTATCTTCCTGGTTTATATTACATTGTAATATTGTCTCTCAGGGCGTTCTGGAGAGGAGGAAGCAGTTTGCTCTGAAATGATGAGATCTATCTGCCAGAAAACATGGCATCACATCTCAGAATCCAGAGGCATGTGAGTCATGCTCACATGCCTTTGGATTGGACACACCCGCTTCACACATGGATGTTTGTTGCATGGAGACCCAACTTCTGGTTGTATGCACTGTGGTGTCCTCCTCACTGTTTTACATATCCTATGAGAATGCCCACATTATGACAAAGAACCTCATACCTTCTATCTTCATGGCAGGTTATGCAGTTCCTAGGAGATGATTGTTGTAATGCATCTAATGCTTTGACATTTCTTTATGATATAGAAGAGAAAAAACATGTTTACCTGGCTATTTTGGATTTTTGAGGAGCCAGGATAATGCAATCAATGTAGCAACTGGCTATGGACTGGATGACCAAGGGGTCAGTGTTTGAGCCCTGGGAGGGATAAGATTTTTCTCCTCTCCACTTTGTCCAGCATGGTCCTGGGGCCTATGCAGCCTCCTCTCCATTGGGTACCTGGGGGTAAAATGGCTAGGGTGTGAAGCTGACCACTCACCTCCAGTTAGTTCTGAGGTTACAAATATGTGGCTCTATACATCCACTCCCCCCATTTTCTTTGGATTTGAGCCCCTCATTACAGTGACTTTGAGGAGTATGGCCTTCTGGTATGTTATGCCATGTAGTTCAGAAAGAACCACATTTTGGAGGAACATATCATCTCCATCTTCAGGGCCAAAGAGTAAGTCAAGCAGGAAGCCAGCAGTTCAGCTTGCCGCATGCTTCTGGTTTCTTGCTTGACCTCCTTTTTCACTCTGAAGATGGAAGCAGTAAGTTCCTCCAAAATATCAGGCTCTTTCTGGAGTACATGATGTTACAACTCAAGAGAACCATGCTCTTCATTGACTATGGTTCATGGAGTCATTTTATCTTTATTATTCTTTTAAGATCTCATTGGTCCATGTATATTCAGTTTTATTGTCAGTTTTAACTGTATAATTATTGTACTTTGATTTTAGACTTAGTCAGATCCTCAGATGTATAATGTGTAATGAATAATTTTAATTAATTTCATTTAATCAGTTTTAAACTAGATTAGATGTGAATGTTTTAATTGGACTATTATTTAAGCAGACATAGCGTTAGATGCTGAAGGGCCTATAAACCACCTCCCCCCCCCACCACACACACACACACACACACACACACACACACACACACATGTGCGTGTGCACATGGAGTTATCTCCTTTCCACATATTTTTCAGTCGAAATATTTCTAGTCCCTATTATGCTCTACTACAACAACTGCAAGTAGTACATTCTTTGCGCACGTGCGATGCGCTGCTTCCTTTGTAACTTCTATTTTATTCAGACTAATATTTGTCAAGATGATCAGAAATTGTCTGCTGCACCTTAAGACCTTGCTCATTTGGCCAAAGACAAAACGTGCATGAAGTTAGTGTGTGATATCCAGTGTGCTCTCTTACAGTATTTTATTTATATGTGGTTCCAAAAACTCAAATTATAAAGTTGATTCCTAGGTTGTGAACGAATTTTGGATAAAATCTTATGTTACAGATCTGGAACTTTTGTAATCGGGTCAAAATCAGAGTTGGAGCTAAAAATTGGTTTAGTTAATACTGGGGAACCTGCATATATGGCTGGTGTCAACATAACTATACCTTTCCCCGTAGAACTTGCTAAAGGTCACATGGACTGTCAAGAAAGCTCTTTGCTACATGGTTTGCAGTTGAATTGCTATCTTGGCAATCCTCTCAGGTCTGGAAACCAAGTAAGCAAGAATGTAAACACCTTCTTCTTCTTCTTCTTCTTCTTCGTCTTCTTCTCCTCCTCCTCCTCCTCCATAATCATCATCACCACAGCCACCCACCACCTTATTCTTCCTCCTTCAGTATTTCCACCATATTACATGAGTCATCTAGCAATCTAGCCTTTCCATCTATCTCTGTCATTTCCACATCTTCATTTTTGTCTCATGTTCTTCCTTCTTTCTGCATCACTTCTTTCCTAACCTGATTTTTCTTCCTCTTAGGCATTTTCTTTATATTTTCAAGTTCAAAACCTTATATGGGATTCTGTCTTTGTTCATTCCTGAAATGTGTTTGTACCATCTTATTCTGTAATTTATTATTTTGTCTTCCATTGTATAGCAAACTCCCGGTTGCCCTTTATCCAGGCACCTTGAATTCTCTTAATGACAGCTGACAAAAATATCAAAGAAAATGTATCCTCCCTCACCCAGTTACCATTACAGTAGAGGCTAGTTGAATTTGTGTTCACATTATAGTATATCAAAAATATTTCACCTATGCACTTCATTTTCACTGTATGTTTAATACTACGTGTATATAAGTCATATACTAGACTGGACTGTATTGGATTTCTGCCAGTATTTTTCTCATGAAGCTGGAGAGACTCCTGTAACTGGCACATTCCATTACCATACCTGCCAGAAAGTCAGGAGTTTACTGTATTTATTTTTAAATTCCCTCTAATTTTTTAAATTTCTCATTCTATCTCACCTGTTTTTTCTGGTTTACATAAAGACTTATAATTTCTAATTGAAGCTTTATATTATGGTTTATCACCTCGTTACAATTTCAGTATTTGTTTCAGAAAGAGTTGACAGTGCATCTGGATATGAGTGGTGTAAAAGTTGGAACAGAGTATCTCACATTTAACATTTCAGCTTACACCAAAAGTAAAGACAAGAATTTGCATGAGAATTTTCAACAGCTGCACCTTAATTTAACCACGGATGCCAATATCAGTATTCTTGGGTAAGATGAATCAATCCTTCATTGCAAATGCTGCTTTTTAAACTAAGCTTTTGTATGACACAAACTCCGTCCTAAGTGCAACAATTTATTGTAGTTCTTTTGTCTTCTTTCCTTCTACACTACATGTTTCGGCCATAAATGGCCATCATCAGGTGTATTTCTCTCACGTAGCTGCTCCACTGCACGTAGTTTAAAATTTAAAAACACCAGCTTTCTTAATTGTTCATTTCTCTGTTGTTAATAGGTCCCGATATATCGGAATCCCCTTGCTGATATTTGTCAGATATGTATAAAATCTTTGTTAATTTACATATGTCAGTTTGATTTTTGAATTTTGGTGTTTTTAAAATCTTTTGTCAGAATTTAAAAATGTTTAAAATTTTAAAATTTTAAATTCACAGGGATACATGCTCTAGGTCTACAGTGCTGCAGCGGCTACTTTTTGCTTTCAGCACCATTCAGGTATTATCTGTAATACACAAATATTCATATTACTATCTTATGTTCATTATGTTATTCTTATGTGTTTTATACTGTTATGTGTACTTACTCTGTGCAGGCTCCCTGTGTGCGTGCCGCTGCTTATCTTTAACATATACAATATATGGAACACACACAAATATATCCCATTCTAGTAAAACAACAAATAGTGGCTTACTTTAGATATGTCGATGACATACTAATAATATATGATGAAAAAATGAGGAACATAGAACATACACTCAAAGAAATTAACGAATTGCAACCAACTATAAAATTCACCATTGAAAGAGAACAACAACCGTCTATTAACTTTCTAGATATAACAATACATTGTAATGAAGATAGCTTGCAATTTGCAATATATAGGAAATCCACACAAACAGACATAATACGTAACAGTTCATGCCATCCATTTGAGCACAAATTGTCAGGTATTACTTATCTAATAAATAGACTCTACACATACCCAATAACAGAAAAAGAAAAACAAGTAGAGAAGAACACTATTAAAAACATACTACATAACAACAGATATGACACAAACATAATCAAAAGATCAAATCAGACAAAACGAAAACAAAAATCAAACACACATGACGACAAACAACAACAAAAAACAAAGTGGCCCATATTTACATATAGTACAAAAGAAGTAAGAAAAATCACAAAACTTTTTAAAGACACACAGATAAAAGTAGCATTTCGCACATGGAACACAATATAAAATATACTCAAACATAAACCACAATTAGATAAATACAATAAAAGTGGCATATACCAAATGAAATGTATAGATTGCCCATTAAAATACATTGGACAAACGGGCCAAACATTTAACACCAGATATAAAGAACATATATATGATATTAGAAATAATAATAGCAATTCCAGATACTCAAATCACATACTAAATATGGGACATGCATATGGAACAATAACAGACATAATGGAAGTTGTAACAACGGGAAAGAAGGGTAGACATTTGAATACACTAGAGAAATACCATATATATAAAATAAGTAAGAAAGGCCTACACATAGAAACACACAATCCCATATTTCAAACAATACACGAGATCTATACAGACTAACGGTACCTCCCTCTCCCCACTACCCATTCCCCTCCTACACTCACCAACATAAGACATAGCACACAATACACCAGACAGCACACGTATTAAAGATAAGCAGCGGCACGCACACAGGAAGCCTGCCCAGAATAAGTACACATAACAGTATAAAACATATAAGAATAACGTAATGAACATAAGATAGTAATACGAATATTTGTGTATTACAGATAATACCTGAATGGTGCTGAAAGCAAGAAGTAGCCACTGCAGCACTGTAGACCTAGAGCAGGTATCCCTGTGAATTTTAATTTCAAATTTTTAAAAAATTTTAAATTTAATTGAAGATTTTAAAAATACCAAAATTCAGAAATCAAATTGATGTATGTAAATTAACAAAGATTTTATACATATCTGACAAATATCAGCAAGGGGATTCTGATATATCAGGACCTATTAACAACGGAGAAATGAACAATTAAGAAAGCTGGTGTTTTTAAATTTTAAACTACATGCAGTGTAACAGCTACATGAGAGAAATACACCTGATGATGGTCATTTATGGCCGAAACATGTGGTGTAGAAGAAAAGAAGACAAAAGAAGTACAATAAATTGTTGCACTTAGGGCAGAGTTTGTGTCATACATTGTGTAGAGTGAAACAGGATGCTTAAATATAATATTGTAAGCTTTTGTATGGATGCTGGATCAGAGATGAAGTGCTAAACTTAAAGACCTAGGATGTGATATTATACTGCCTGGCCAGGACTATCACACACCTCAGAAGGTGGTAATAGATGAATGTGGAGCAAAGGTGGAATGCTAGAAAAATTAGCTACCAGTAAATAAATACCCTGTTTTCAAGATGCTTATTTGCGATGTTCACTTGTTGAAGAAAGATGTTAATATGGTGAGTATTGTATATCTGATGCTTACTTAGAGAAGGAACTGTAAGAAGATTTCTGTCTTCTTGGAGGTGATGCGGTGTAGTTTGATGCATCATTACCGGTGTTTCAGAGAAACCTGTTTTTCCATCTTCAAGACAGAATGGTAAGCTAATGTGGCAAAAATGGTACAGATATAAAGAATGAGAGGGCCAGAAGTGGAACTTTGAGTGAATATTGGCCCTTTATAGGGTCACTTTCCGAGGGCAGAGTGATTGGGCCAACATGCTTTACCCTATCCTCCTTATTTCTATTGATTTGCTCACAGCCCCAGTGCTGGTCCCCCCTTCTCTATGTCCATACCATTTCTTTTCCCATACTCAGCTTATTTATCTACCCTGAAGCTGGGGCCATTAGGTTCCTCTGAAACGTTAGTAACTATCTACAGACTAGGTGTCATCACATCCCAGAAGGCAAAACACATATGTTTGTTAGCATACAAGTATTAATGAGTAATGAAATGGGCAGGAGGCAGAAAGAAACATATTTGTCTTATAACGTTTGTTGTTTAAGTCTAGCTGAATTCCTACATTATTTTTCAGTAATCATTAAGTTAAATCACTGAAATCCAAATTTTTGTGGAACGGTACATGTGAGGAGCCAGGATAGCGCAGTTGGTATAGTGACTGACTACGGGGTGGCCAACCAAGGAGCCAGAGTTCGAGTCCCAGTGGGGGCAAGAATTTTCTCTTCCTCAACTTGTCCAGAGTGCCTCTGGGGTTCACCTGACCTCATATCCAGTTGGTACCAGGGGCTCTTTCCCCAGGGGTAAAGCTGCAGGGTCGTGAAGCTGACCACTCACCTCCGACCAGTGCCAAGGTCAAGGAACCGTGGATCTATACATCCACTCCCCCATACACCTCATGGCATAATGCTTAATTAGTTAAGCACAGGGATAACTTTACCTTTACAGTAGATGTGAACAGTAAAGTGAGGAATTTAAAACTGAAATTTTAGAATTCTGTTGATTGAACTTTAATGTTAAATGAGGGAAAATTTTAATTGAGGAACATTAAGAGGGGATTCCATTGTATAATTTATTTACAGGAAGTCAGAAGAAGATGTATACTCTTACTTCAAAGCAAATGAAATGAAGTTTAAACAGATATATGAGGTAAGAATTAGGCACCTGATATCCACATAATCTTTATTTTTTTTCAATTAAGCAAAGCTGATAGAGATGTGAGATTAGGGGTTTCCACATGGTGACTATGGATGTAGCACTGTGCTGTTTAGTAGATTGTTAACAGTGTTCCAGCGTAGGTGAGTGACTCTGAGGACGAAGGCAGGCAGTCATCTGAAATATTGGAGTTTTATTTACCATACTATAAGGCATCACATCCCAGAGGACAGTATTCTTCAATTGATGGAATTGTTGCCTGTACCACCTTATGCTAACATCTCAGACTCTTTGATCTAACATCTGCTTCAAAATGTTTTTGTCATTCTTCACATACCAGGGGTCCACACAGAGTTGTACTGTGGAATGCTTTTTTGGTGGGGCAGTTATTTAACAGTACTTTTGGTATTGAGACTATACATCATCTGATTTATTTTTTATTGCTAGTGGGGTGGAACTAAGTCCCTTGTACTGCAGCCACTTCTGACCTATTGTACCAGCCCCAGATGATAGGTGAGGGTGATTGTGGAGCAATTGATGGAATGAAGATTGGCAGGGGAAACTGAAGTACTCAGAGAAAACCTGCCCCAGTGCCATGTTATCCACCACAAATCCCACTTGACCAGACCCGGAATCAAACCCAGGCCACTGCTGTGGGAAGCCAGCGACTAACCGCTTGAGCTATAGCACAGCCTCTATACAGCATTTGATGGTAAGATGACTGATGATTTAGAAATGATTTGGAAGGAAGTGATCATGGCCTAAACAAAGTACTATGCTGGCATTTCCTGGAGGGGCTGAGTACAAGTAAAAACACAAGAAACTTCAGTCAGGATAACTGGTGATATGGCTTAGATTTTAATCAAGCTCCTCCTGAATACAGGTCTAGAACATTACCTCTGGACCAACCTGTTAGGTTGTTAGGTGTCCACAGTCAGAATGCACCATGTAAAGATTCCCTCTGTTATCTTTCCATCTTTGCTCTGGTAATCACACCTTATTTTTTTTAATCTCCAAGTTACCCACTGGGCTGGTTCCTGGTCAGGGCCAAAAGGAACAATGGACATGGAAATGTTATTGAACACTATTTTTATCGCCACCAAATGCATCATAAAATCATTGGCAATTGGTATTCCCAAACGCTCATCCCTTCAAGTGCTAGCAAAGTGCAGTATTACTTAACCTTTTCTACTGTAGGTTGAGCAGCTTGGAAGGTGGCAGAAAGATTGCTGCTGGTTGGTCAGTAATGGCCTTTTATATTCTAGATTATAATTCAGTCCACAGATTATATCTGGTTAGTTTCACATAATATCTTTTTGCTATATACAAGGGTTGGATAAAATGTAGTGGCAACACTGCTGTATCATGAAAGATGAGTGTCAGGTGGCACTAGCACCATCTGTAGCTGATAGCAGAAGTTCAGTTGAAGTAGTGCAATGAGTAGCTCTGGTTGTGTTTCATTCGTTGTGCATCATCTTGAAGTGCAGGAGCCCAGTTCAATCGCCCTAAGAACATGTTTATGAAACAAGAACAATGCTTCTGGATAAAAATTGAAGTTGCATGAGGTCATAGAGCACAAAACTGTTATCAGGGACTATGAAAAGCATGTGGTGATGCTGCTTTGCCATATCGCACAGTGGCACAATGGGTGAAATTGTTCTGTGAAGGGAGGGATGCCATTCAGGACAGCCATCGTTCAGGACAACCCCATGTTGACAACCACACAAGTCAGTTTCTTGCTCCTTTGCTGGATGTTGATCGTCGATGGGCTGCATGGGAGTTAATTGCTGAGGTAGGCATATGTAACAAAACCATGCTCCACATTTTGCACGATATTCTTGGATGCCGCAAAATTGCAGCACGTTGGGTACCACGTACAATGTCCAAGGTGCAACAATGGCAACGTTATGCAATTGCACAGGACTTGTTGGACAGGTACCAGAAGGAAGGCGATGACTTCTTAGGAAGGATCGTCACTCTGGACAAAACTTGGGCTTGCTCATACAAACCACACTTGAAGCGATAATCAAATGAATGGAAGCATCCTGGCTCTCCTCATCCAAAGAAAGTGCGCCCTACACAGAGTAATGTGAAGGCAATGTTCATTGTGGCATATGACATTGATGGAGTGATACTGCACCACACTGTACCTCAAAGACAGAGAGTAAACGCTGCAATTTCCTGCGTAATCATCTTCGTCCAGCATTCAGGAGAAAGCGATGACACTTGTTGGCAATGAACCCCATCATCCTTCATGGAAATTCAAGGGCTCACACTGCTGACGCTGTCAAGGATCTCCTTCGCCACTGGCGATGGGAGATACCGCAACATCCGCCATACTCATCTGATATGAGGCCATGCGGTTATGATATCTTTGCCAAAATGAAAGACCCACTGCAAGGGTTATGTTACAACACAGGAGAGGAGATTATTCGTGCTGTATGGCAGTCACTGCTGGACATCAACGGAAGTGGACGCGTTGATGGTGTATGACACTTTCCACAAATTTGGCAGAAGGTGGAACACATAGGGGGCAGTTATATTGAAGGAATGTAAGTGTGTTTACCTAAGGTAATAAAGTCATTTCAGAACTATAGAGGTGTTGCCACTACTTTTTATCTAACCTATGTATATGTACGGGCTTTAAATATGTGAAGTAGATTTAAGTACATTTTGATTGTTGGTTTTCTTGAGATTTTCATATGTTGATTGAATGAGATTCTTTTCTCTCTTACGATAATTTTATCCCCAAAACAATAACAAATATGATAATATGTTCAACATACCAAATTCCATCAATGTAAAACAACCATTTTGTAACTAATATGACATATTTTATGTAATATATACTGCTTTCATAGTATAGTGTACTATGGTATAGTGTAGTACAGGCATGTCAAACACGTCGATCGCAGGACGATTTTTGGTTGATCTCATAGGCCTCTAAGGAAATTGTACATGAAAAGCATGTAAATTCACTTGTAATATAATATGATTATATTCAGATTTTGAAGGGAAAATACATATTAGTCATTCCTATTTTTCTGTTCTTATGTAGCTTATGTGAAAATTGCTTTGCACTTGTGTTAAGTAAACTGTGGGGAAGTCCCTACTCTATCCTTATCACATGAACTCTTATTTCATCACTTGTTGTCAGCTGCATGTGTTCTGATGCAAGAGGGATCGACAGAACAGGTGATTCACTTCGTTCTTTCCCTCCAGTCAACTGTGAATCCCCGTACGTTGTTGAACTAACAAGTGAGGCGTATGTATTATTATATTAACTGTTAGTGGAGATTTGTGGCTTTGCTGTGCATCAAACAAATATAGTGTTTGGGGATGAGCTCAGTGTAATCAAAGGGACAGTAAGTGCTCTGCCCATGTTGTTTTATTAATTTCGAAAGCATCTGTGCGTGTGTGTGTCAGATAAAACAGTTACCTCAGTATGGTAGAAGATGCAACGCCTCAGTATCCTTGCCAAAAAAGCGCAATTTGGAACATCATTATAATGCTCTCCATAGCAATAAGTACGATGCTGATTTTCCACCAAAAAATGGAATTCGTAAACTTAAGCTCAGAGAACTTAAATCGAAATTAGCTGCTCAACAACAGTTGATGGCAAAACCAATGTCACCTCATCCTTCAAGGTCAGCAATCTGATCATTAAAAAATGCAAACGTTTCACTGAAGGGGAATTTGTAAAAGAGTGTTTTCTTGAAATAGCTGATAATCTTTTTGAAGGATTTAAAAATAAGAAAGAGATCATAGCTACTATTCAAGATCTTCAATTATCAAGAAACAACATTGTGTGGCGAATAGATGTATGTTGAAACATAACTGAACAGTTGTTGAAAGATGTTTCCAATTGTGTTGCTTTCTCCCTCTAACTGGATGAATCTACAGACATCAGAGAGACAGCCCAGTTACTAGTTGCTTTTACAACAAGCATTATATATCATGTTATTTTTACCAATATTTTTGCTTAAAGTGAAGTATGACGATAGGAGGGGGTGGTAGATCACTGGCAGTTTTGACACTAAAAATTTGATCACAACCTGTTTGAAGTTTGACATGCCTAGTATAGTGTATAGTGAGTCTAGACATTAAAATATCTCATTACCAAACTGTCACAGATTTTATAATTGTTCTGTTAGGTGCAGAAAGTTGGATTGAGTTCAGTTGATGTTGCAGAAATTGATATCAGCATTCCAGTACAATGGTTTGAACCAAACAGAAAAAAAATTAATCTCTTGGAATTGTACAGCCCAAAGGTAAAGTTAAACAGATATGTTTGTATCATTATTAAATTTACTTAAATTCCCATTCTTACATTGTGTAACAAATAGCAGTGAGTCATAATATTTAATATTAATATAGTCTTTGCATATTATTAACTTTTTCTGGATTACACTTACGAAGTGGTTAACCTTTGTTTCTTTGAAAAAGTGGGAATAAATCCAGTAAGTTGATCATTTTCTTGTGTAAGGGTTGAAAGATTCTGGAAATCAGAGCAGAAATGATTTGCTGTGGAATGTTCAGTACAAAAATCACATTTTTTTTGGAGAGAGAATGGTACCAAAAGTTTTAAAATGTGATGTACGTTAAGAAGTCAAAAATTATCCGCACTCTTGTTTTTCCAATCCATATATACAAAAGTAGGGGTTGAACAAGTACTTCATTTTTCTACATAGTCTCCTCCCTTTTCAATGCACTTGGTCCAGCGGTCCAAAAGCTTGCATATTCCCTCCACGAAGAAGGTTTTTGGTTGGTTGCGCAACCATTTACGCACCACTTCCCCCACTTCCTTGTCCATAGAAAATCAAAAACCTCGTAAAACATCTTTGAGCGGTCCAAAGAGATGATAGTCGGAAAGGGCGAGATCTGGGCTGTAGGCAGGGTGTTCCAGCACCTCGAAACACAAGTGGTTAATGGTTTCAATGGTCTGGCCGTCCTTGTGTGAGTGTTCATTGTCATGCAAGAACAACACTTTCTTCAACAATAGGCCTCGGCGTTTGGTGCGAATTCCTGGCTTCAGATTGTTAACCAGCAAATCACTGTATCTTGCAATGTTGATTGTACACTCTTTTTCCAGGTAGTCTTCCAGTATAGGCCTTTTTGAGTCCCAAATAACAGTTAGCATCACCTTTCCCATGAAAGATTTGAGTCTTGAATTTCATCTTCATTTGTGATCCTGGGTGTTTCCATGCCATACTCTAGCTTTTGGATTCTGGCTCATAGTGATGAACCCACATATGAATTTCAGCCCCTAACACGCCTTCCAATCAGAGAAATCGGATCACTATTCTTTGTTAATCATTGGCGCAAACTGCTAGCAGAGCAGCCATGTTTACACTGTCACAGCATCAAGGAAAATGATGCGATCAAGGTAAAACTTCGATCACGTGACCACAGTAGTACCAACTCTAACAATGCATACATAGGAAGCAGTGTGACAAACCTAAAGATGTGTTATGGAGAAAGTGCGGATAATTTCTGACTTACCCTCGTATGCTATGATTTCATGTGGTATTTTGAAGGAAATTAAGTTAAACAACAGGACAGATGAGAATGTGTTTAAAATTATTTTTTAGAAAGTAACTTAATTTGACTGTGACTGGAAATGTGTATGGACCATACTCCCATTATAGTATTCAGGATTATAACTTGTAGTTTTGCAGGAACATACTGCCTTCACCTTCATGCTGATACTAAAATAAGAACTGTAGTTCTTTAATACATTCACTGCCAATCCTGTTACTTGACAAGTTGAAATGTACTGTGTGTCAGTGCTGAGTTCATTAATAGACTGTTGCCTAAATATGTAAATGTCATTTTGTCCTAAAGATATTACTCACATGCAGAGAGACTTTAATTGTAACTTGTCAAACCTCAAAAAAGTGTTGAAATGCACAGTGATTTTCTCTTGTTATTCACTTGTTCCCCAGCATGGTTGCATGGTAATATGTATATTAATTTACTGAAGGGCATGTTACAGTGGAGCATCATGTTGTAATACAGTTGTGAATTCTGTTGATATGACACATATATTGATAATATTTTATTATATATCACATAAAAATTAAACAATTTTAACTAGTTCCTGAACTTTTAATTTAATTTAAAATTCTGTACAGAAGATTAAAATGCCTATTTTTAGCAGGATTGATTTGCTGTAATCAAAATTGTTCTGAATTTATTGTAGGCATATCTTAATGGACAACCATTATCGTGCTCTTCAAGTATTCGATTTCACTCAGAAGATGATGTACAAGATGAAGACATTCTTGATGATGAATCAAAACCTGATATGCAGAATCAAGAAAGCCAGGAGACAAGAGACTTGTCAAAGATTCAAAATGAGGCAAAAGGATACCAACCACCAGCAAACCGTACTTTATTTCTGAATTGTTCCACTCCAAATGTTGTGTGTAATACTGTAAAATGCACGGCTGGCCCTTTTGAGAGCACCCCCCAGTCTTCAGCTGTAATAGCAATAATGATGACCTTAAAAATCAGTGATCTAGGTATGTTGACTTATTTAAATTAACTAGCTACTACAACACTCGCAGCTAAGAAGGGAACACACACCACAAGACACGGTTTACACAGAATATAAGAAAAACGACCCCCATAGTGGAAGAACCACACACAGGTTTCAATTATGACACATAAGATGTATAATCTTAACAAGTTTTAGTGTGTGTAAATTTATTATAGTGGACAAATACGCACTTTTTAAATACTTTTTAAATAATTTTATAAAGGCAAGCAATGAAATAGATTAGCATAATTAGGGCACCTGATGATGGCACTATGTTGCTGAAACATGTCGTGAAGTAACAGGTGAAATTGAGTGCACTACAAGACGGCAACTGTATACATATCATAGCTACTGGTGCTCTAAATGTTTATGTTGTAATATCTCATTGCTTCTTTTCCTGCCATCATTTCTGTTCTGTGTATGTCGATGGACAAAAGGTCTCCAATTGTTTCTTCCTTCAGTTCCAACAGGTTCCTTTCCTTTAAAATTTTAATTATAATGCCCTTCTTAATATCCAAGGGGTGTAGTTGATTGAGGCACTGTGCTACAAGCTGGGAGGTTACTGGTTCAATTCCCAATGAAGTCTTTGGATTTTTCAATTGACCTAGTCCTTCCAGCCACACTATGGGGTCAATTCAGCCTCTAACATAAATCGGTACCAGGAATCTTCCAGGGGTTAAAGGGTGGCTGGAGCATGAGGCTGACAACCTCACTGCCATCTATGAGCAGACTGTCTAGAAAATGTGACAGCCTTGACATCTCACAACCTTAAGGACCTCCACAGACTCTTACAGAGATAGCTTTACCTTTTTACCTTCTCAATATCCATCTGTCCATTCTCTTTACATGTTCAGAATATTGCAATCATTTGTCTTCTAGCTATATTAAAAACATGGAATTCAAATTTTCCTCAAAAATTTCATTTCTAATTCTATCCCTTCTTGTTTTTCGTTTATACTTCCTCTAACATTCATGTCCATTCTGTGATTTTTCTTTGTTTCAGTTTGTAAGGGTCCATGTTTTTTCATTATATGTTAACATTAATTTTTAAATATGCTTTATAGAGTGTTATTTGGAATTGTTTTGGGATTCCTCTGTTTCATAACAGGGGCACGTGGTAGCATTGTTGGTTGAGGTATTCTACAAGCCAGAAGGTCGCGGGTTCAAGTCCCGATGAAGTCATTGGATTTTTTCAATTGACCTAATCCTTCTGGCCGCACTATGGCCCTGGGGTCAACTCAGCCTCTAACAGAAATGAGTACCAGGAATTAATTAAATAATTTTCCTGGGGAGTAAAGCGTGGCCGGTGCGTAAGGCTGACAACCTTACCACCATCTTTGAACCAACTGTCTAGATAATGTGGGACCCTCAATGTCTCACAGCCTGTTACAGGGATAACTTTACTTTTTTACTTTTTACTGTTTCATAATATCCCTTTTATAATATGATGAAATTTATGACTTTCTCCATCCTCCTATTGAACTCTTCAACAATTTATGACTTTCTCCATCCTCCTATTGATCTCTTCAACAATTTCCTGTTAAATATTTATTTAACTTCATACATATATAAATTTGTCCAACTGTTTAAGCAAGTTATCAACTTTTATTTTGATATTTATGTCTAGGTCCCTTGAAATCTTCACTGTCATTACTCATATCTTGTTCATGATGTTGACTTAACCTCTAATGTACAGACTTTTAAATTGCTGGCAGCCCTATGCGGCCAGAATTTAAATGGCCCAAAGTCTTCTTTACATTGCAGGTTTTCAGAACAAACTACATATTTTCTGCTCTGTGCAACAAAGAAATACAAACTAAAAACAACCTGAAAGACAGTAAAATTTTCTACATATACACAAAAGAGCAATTTTTACAAGTGAAAATTAACTGTGATTATTTTGTCATGAAGTTCAAAATATAATCGTTATTATATATGTCATGAAATTCCAAAGGACTTACCCATAATTTTGTCTTCAATCCTGAGACATGGTGATTTTGTAAATATAATCACACTATATACAATAACATATTGTTCAGACTGTATGCAAGTTTGAACTGCTTCACTTCACAGTTTACGATACCTCACACTCTGATACTTGTGTGCCACTTCTCAAAGCAGTACACAACACACAGCCCAACATCACACATTTTACAATAGAAAAGGTTGCTCGGTCTTTTCTTTTTTAGTGAACACACATGACAACATCTTTATTTCCCTTTGGTTGGCCAGTGTTGGGAATGTTTCACCTCCTGTCAACTCAGTTGGGCCCCAGATGAACTTGGACTCCCCTGAGAAATGCCACTGACCGTGATATTCACCTCATGCGATTGAAGAATCATCTTGGGGGGAGGGGGGTTTCCAGTTAAATAAGTTATGTTGATTGACAAAGCGATACTCTCACCTGTTAGTTATACTTGCAAAATAGTGATACAAAGCAATTATACTTGTAATACTAGTCAAAAAGAGTGCCAGTCCAACACTGATACCGAAAGTCACAGTTACAAAGATGCCTTTTACTCACAAAGTAATACTGGCTCAGTGGGTTTATACCTCTTCCGAGACACAAAATAAAAATGATATATAAAGAAATATATGACAGTCTGACCCTGACTTTCTAACTGATAATTCACTACTGAAAGCCAATCCTTGAAAGCTCTAAAAGCACTAATCTGCAAGCACAAATGAATATTTACTAAACAAAGCTGGGATCTATTTGGCTGACCAGGTCATAAACAGTCATATCTAAACATAAATAGTATCAAAACCAGTACCGTGATAAACGATTTCATTGTTCAGAGCTAATGACTGAACCACTGACATGACCTTGTGTGGGTTTATTTTGGTTTCAAACCGAAGATCAAACTGTCAGCATTCCCAAAGAGAGCACGTGTGCTGTATTAGCTATACCTAACATTCGGCCACATGGGGGTGTTGGTTGCTGTTAGATATATCTAACATTTGTACATTAAAGGTTAATGCACAAAAGATCAAATCATCACCATTTCCACATCCTAGGTTTCTTACCTGTATGGATATATGGAAAATAAATGAAATGAATGAATCACAAATCATTAATATTTCTTTAATTTAATATCAACCTTATGCTTTTAGGCACACTTATGGGCAAGAAGGATATTGTTCACCTGACTACAAGTGGTTCAGTTACTATCAAGAAACCTGAAAATTTGAATTTCATAGCAGGGTAATATCCACCAGGTTTATTTTAGCTGCTTCTGTAAGAGACGTACATTATGATAGATGTCTTAACTTTTCTGATTTTTCCGTTTTCTATCATGGGTCTAATACAGACAAACCAGAAATAATATGGCGTTTCCTCTGTATATTTGTCAGTATGTACAGTAACCATAGCTGTTAAAGTGATGTACAAGTACTGTGGTAGAGTTTTTGGATGCATTCTGAATCATCATTCCCAATCCCCTTTTTCCTCAGATGTATAAATTTTAATTCTTACTTTGAGTGTTATCCTTCTTTAAATATCTTCAATCATATGTATCTGTAATAACATCTTAATAAATGACCTTATTTTATTGACAGTATGAGTCTATCAATTATTTATTAAAAGTATAAAATTGTTGTGCTCAACGGACATATTTACATAGCATCTTTCTTTAAACTTTTGGCTACTACTACAACCTATGGTGTGATACTGATGAAAAAACAATATCGCATACAAAGATCAAGTAAATCTGATTGTTTCAGTGTACCATGCTTTAATAATGTTATACCTATTTAAACAGGTTGTAAATAAATGTGGCATGAACAAATCTGGAACTGCTGTTGTGTATTGCACTTATTGTTTCTGTCTAACCCTGTATTGTCTGTAATAGTTCTATATGCCAAAGCTCATATTTATATCATTGGCAATAGTGTATTCCTATTGATTTTAATATTATATCCTTTTTGTGAACTTTATACATACATTAAGTATACAAGCAGAGGTATAAATTTTTTGCTTGGGACATGATTCCTGTATTTGCCAATATCACAATGTATATAACAGCTAAAACTTTAAAGAATAGATAACACTCAAATTTATAAAAGTATAGGCCTGCTCATGGAATAAAAGAAAGATTTGGAATGGGGATTTGAACTGCATTCAGAAAAGCAATCACAGTACTCGTGTATTGCTTTAAAAACCATGGCTACTATACATATTTGTAAAAGTATGGTGTAACGGTCTCTGTTAAGCCCATGGTAGAAAACGGAACATTTTATATTCTTTAGATGACATATTACTGCAACATACATGTATGAATGGATCAGTTTCAAAACTGTCAGCTTCTAAAATAATATTCACATTTCAATATTTGCAACCAGTAAAGTTGGCATGCAGGTCTGCAATCCTTAAGACATGGTTAAACTCTGAAGGGAATCTTCTGGGATGTGATGCCATGTAATTTGGTAGCAGTTTGCTGACATTTCAGACAAACATACTGTGTCTGTCTTCAGGATCAAAGAATATGTCATGCAAACAGACACCCAAGCTGCAAGAAGAATGCTCTGCATCAATTAGTTACAGTCTCACATGCAACACTATGTGCTATAAAATGTATTAAGTTTAAAAATCCATCACTACATTTTTCAACCAATGTGTTCATCATTGGGTGTTAAAATCTCTGGTGAGGAAACTACTGTCTTCTGTTGTTGCTTATGTTGGTAAACATATATAGGTCCTCTCGATGCACACGTGTTTGAGTAGATGGATTGTATTCTCTCTTGCTGTGTTTTTTTGCTGCAGCAATTTTTAAAAGTTAATAAATTTTATAGGACATAGTGCTGCATGTGAGACGGTAACTAATTGACACTAAGTGAAAAGTGCAACAGGATGCTACAATATTATGAGAATGCTCTGCTTTCTTTATTGCTAGTAGGGTGGGACTAAGTCCCTTGTACTGTGGCCACTTCTGGCCTATTGTACCAGCCCCAGATGATAGGTGAGGGTGATTGTGGAGCAATTGGTGGAATTAAGATTGGCAGGGGAAACCGAAGTACTTGGAAAAAACCTGCCCCAGCGCCACCACAAATCCCACTTGACCAGACCCAGGATTGAACCCGGGCCACCACAGTGAGAAGCCAGTGACTAACTGCTTCAGCTGTGGTGCGGCCAGAATGCTCTGCTTAGTGCTTGCTTGTGTTAATCTTTGACCCTGAAGGGGAAGGCAGTCCTCCAAAATATCAGAAAATTTTTACCAGACTACTTGGTGTGGCATCACAGAAAATACACTTCATAGTCACCGCTGTGACAACCTGAAATTTCATACGATTTCTGTGACATGTAACTTTCCTAATGAAATGCATAAAATTGATAGAGCATGTACAAGAAGTTGATTTGTGGTGATTACTAACTGTGTGGGTACTGTACTTGCAGGAACCATTCAGTAACAGTATCTTCCATTTTCATTGGAAATGTCCAAAAGGAAGTAGTAGCCACATGGATCATTGCATTGGCTATCATAGCTGGTATCCTCCTCCTTATGTTGCTCGTGATAGGTTTGATGAAGGTAAGCAATGTATGCTCTGATTACAGGTTTCTTTATAAAGTTTGTTATTTTATTAAAGGAACAGTTGTCCCTGCACTTAAGCACCATGCCATGAAGATATATCAGAGAGTGGAGGAGATCTCCATGCACTAAATGGTGGTGAATGGTCAGCTTTATGACCCCGCTGCTTTAACCCTGGAAAAAGGGTATTTGCATTAAGCTATAAAATGTTTCTGCACAGTCATGAAAATACTTGTGAAATGTTTGCCTGGCTAAATTTTCCAAGAATACCCACCACCTGTGCATGGGTACAACTGTATTTTAAGTAATTCCTGAGAATTAGTGATCTCCCTCTGAGTAGGGGTCCTATTTGTACTAATGTTCCTGGGATAGCCTCGGTTTTATGGGCTTTACAGAGCCAAATGTCCCAGATTTTTCCAAGTGACAAAAAATACGACCTTTCTGACAATGCATATGAACATTTTGACTCTCCCATGGCCAGAATACTGCCTGATGGGGCAGCTGGCAGTAAAGGTGTGTAGGCTTGTGTGGTACACTGGTTGGCAAGAGTGTGGAGGTGCAAATGAATTATCACTGTTCAGTTTGCATTGTCTGTGTTCCTGTGTACGAGTCTAAGTTTTGAATGTTTTCTCTTTAATTAAAGTTCTCTAAGTAATCAAGTAGTAAAAGATTCATGATAGCTACAAAATGGACAGCATTGGACCAACCGCTAACAATGAGTAGGTGAGGGAGAGGAAGATGATTAGTTTAGTGATTATGGAGTCTGAACAGACTGTAAATAACAAGGAATGGATATGAGAAGAAAAATCAGTAAGTGAGCTGAGCGTTTGGGTTTGAGTAGTATTCTTCTTATTTTGTATCTGTATATAATAATTGTATTATGTGAGTTATCTCATTCTCGGAATATCCAATAAATTACTCTGCTTTTTGCAGTGATTGATGGCTCAAAAATGTTTTATTAGACCCCGCCACCAAAACTTTATTAAGTGCCCCTGTTTTTTTATTTTTAAAAAATGGTATCCATAGTTGTGACTCCCCTGGTGTGTCACACCAACATTTTGTGAGCTCAACCACAATCATCACTCATGAATTGTCCCAACAAAAAAAGACTTCTGTGCACCTCAGGTTTCTTAGTTCTTCATTGTGCATGCATTCTGACGGATAAGACTTCACTTGGTTTTTGGTCTCTCTGCTGTTCATTCCATTATTCTATGTATCAGTATCATCATTGTTATCAATGCTCATAACTCATGTAGTTCTTACATCATAAAATGATATATAAGAGAGATACATTAATCCTCTGATGCCAGCAATTTATCCAAATACTGTGTAAAAATTAAGTTTTTGCTTCATAGAAAATACACTGCACCTCCATTAGAAAGACCAGCTGGTTAGTACTGTTCAATTAAATAATCACTCTTCGTTCTGAGACTCATACAAAACTCATAAACACACACTGTGCATAAAATACATAATTTTTTAATGTGAAAGCAGATGGTATGTACAGTAACCACTATGCTTTAAAGGATTAAAGACTTCCTGTGTACGAACCATTGACTATAAAGGAATATGTTTGACTGCCACCATTAAAACTTTCCATTTACAGTATTATAGTCGTATGTATCACTTGGTATTAATAAGATCTAAAAGTTTATGATGGTGGTAAATAATACATTTATTTACTTTTTGGACATTATCCATCAGCTTTTTTTTAATTTAAAAATGGGATGATGGATAATGTCCAAAAACTCAATTGTGTTTCATATTAATGTTGTACATACAGACAGAAGTTTCAATAATTTGTTTGTAGCATTAGCACATTCACTGTCAAGCCTCTGTCCTGAGATTTTGTCTGCTGGTTCAGTCGTTTTTCCACAAAAACTGGATCTGACTCTACTACATTCAAAATGGAAATGGAAGGGAGCAATAAATTTTTTCTTTTCATCAGTTACTTCATGATTCAAGACTACATGTAATGTAGTAATGACTAAATGTAATAAAATTTATAACAAAAAACTCACCACAATATCCATTAAACATAGGATATAATGATAAATATATAGAAGAGGGAGTAAACACAAATTTCCTTGGCTTGCAAATTGATAATCATTTAAACTGGAAAAACCATATCGATCAGTTGATTCCAAAGCTAAGTAGAGCATGTTATGCAGTTAGATTCATGTTACATATTGGTAACATTGACACACTCAAATCAATCAATTTTGCTTACATTCACTGTTTAATGAAGTATGGAATAATTTTCTGGGGTAATTCATCTGACAGTAAAAAGGCAATAGAAAATTATTAGAATCATGGTGGGTGTCAAATCCTGTAATACCTGTAGAGATCTATTCAAGAGACTACAGATCTTAACTTTTCCTTGTGAATATATATATATATATATATATATATATTCATTAATAAACTTCATTACAAATAATGAAGAACATTTTCAGACGAATGCGGATGTATACAGTATTAACACAAGACACAAACACTGTCTTCATAAACCAATTACTAACTTCTCATGCTTTCAGAAAACCACATATTATGCTGGGATCAAAATTTTTAATAACCTGCCATCTGATCTCAAAGGTCTTATGAATGAAAAAGCACGATTTAAAATCGCACTGAAATGATACTTAAATACACATTCATTCTACTCTGTTGATGAATACCTACTGTCTAGAAAATAACTTACGTATCTTTAAATAGCCTTGTGTGTAGTCAGTGTATTCTCTTGTGTGAGAACTCCACTGGGACTGTACATATGTTTTGTATTTGTATATGACATATTCCACATCCTATGGATCCATGGAATGCAATGTAATGCAATGCAATGTAATGTAAAGTAATACACAGCATCAAATGGTAGGATGATATGTGAAATGGAAAGGATTTTTAAGCAAACAGGAACAGCCTAATTGAGGCATTTTCCTGGAAGGATTGAGGAAAACTGTGAGAAGCCTCAGTCAGGATAGCTCGTGTCCCATCTGAGATTTGAAATAAGCACTATCAAAATATGAGTCTAGAGCATTATCAGTGTGCCAGCCTATTCAGTAACAAACAAAAAGCTTGTAACAACTGCTGTATGTTTATACTCTTAAAACTTCAACAAGCTATACTTAATATCTTCTGCATTTGGGTGACTTCTTCTTCCCAGTAATATCTATAGGATAGAATAACATTTATATGCACAATGATATCGCTGACTGATAAGCGCTGACAGTGAGTGTGTTAAAACTGTTCTGAAGGGTATATCATAAACACTAAGTATTGTTTTAGGCTGGATTCTTTGAGAGAAGAAAGAAAGAAGAGTTAAAGGCTTTGAAGGCTGTTGATGTAAGTATGAATATGTTACAAGCTGTGTACATCAATACATGCACCTCAATGAGGTAAAGTCCCTGTGCTTAATTAAGCAACACATCATAAAGGTGTATGCAACAATGGAAGTATAGCTCCGTATCTTCTTAACCTTGGTACTACTACATGGAGGTGAGTGGTCAGCTTCACACCCCGGCCATTTTACCCCTGGGGAGAGCTTTTATTATCTACTGGCTACAAGGCAAGTTGGGCCCCAAGGCTAGTCTGGATGTCGTGAAGAAAATCTCTCTTGGTCCTACTATGAACTGAACCCAGATTCCTTGGCCAGCCAGCCCACACCTCATCATTATACTAACTGAGTGACCCAAAAATAGATACGCAATGACATACATTAAATATATCAACTGTTCTCAAGAAATAATATACTGAGTTTTATATAGTATTATATACAAATTACTGCGTTTCTTTCCCAGGATGTATTCTAACCTTCCATAGCTGAAACCAGTTTGCCTACCTAACACTTTGTCCAAGACTTCTTCGAAGGCACAAAATATACAAAACTATAATTTTTCCCTATGGTTCTGCATGACCGCGAAATTCGGTCTTTGATATTAAGGGAGGAACATAGACTGAGGGTTTTTCAGAACAGGCTTCCAAGGAGAATACTTGGACCAGATAGAGATGAAGTGGCAGAACGCTGGAGAAAACTGCATAATGAGGAGCTCCATAACTTGTACTCTTCGTCAAGTCAAGGAAGATGAGATGAGCAGGGCATGTAGCACGAATGAGGACAAGAGGAAAGCATATAGGATATTGATGGTAAAGTCAGAAGGCAAAAGACCACTAGGAAGACCAAGACGTAGGTAGGTAGATAATATTAAAATGAATCCTAGATTAGATGGTATGAACTGGATTGATCTGGCTCAGGATAGGAACCAGTGGAGGGCTCTCTTGAACACCGTAATGAGAATTCGGGTTTCATAAAATGTCGCTAAATTCTTGAATAGCCTCACAACTGGTGACTTTTTCAAGAAGGGCTCAGCTCCATGGAGTTAGTTCATCTTTGAAGACACGACATACCTTGAATAAGTAACCTTGCAGAATGAAAGTCCAGTGAGTTCAACGAGATATCCGTTTTTGTAATTTTGGTTCTCATCTCACGTTGGAAGTGAAATTTGGCAGCTTCGTAATGCTGGCACAAAGATCTGCATACAATACAAACTGCAGAAAATAGTAAATATTGATTCTTTGAATGCTTTACCTAAATTGAAGCAAGAGATGTTCCGTTGAGGTCTGGGGTCCATTAGAGCCATTGGGGCTCCTTCCCTTCCCACAGTGGGTATCTTGGGGTCCCAAAGAAACACGTAGTAAAGAGACAACATGATGGCTGCCAGTGACACAGACAACACATATGCCATAACGATGAGAACTGATAAATTTCCCCTTCCTTTTCCGTTCATACAGTTTGTCTTTGGTCGCACTTGAATGCTGCATGTCATTTGGAATTTGTTGTGTTTCGCTGCCCATAGAATCGTCTTCATCAGATCGTACACTCATCTTGCTTAAATTGTTTGCTTATTACAACAACTGCAGAAGTTCTACTTTTCATATCTGGATGAATTTTAACTGATGAATATGAGAATTTATCCATAAGAAAACTTAAATGCATGATTAATTTCACCGTCTTTTAGTGCATACACTTATCTACCTCCTTTCTCCCGCACTACATGTTTCGGCACAAAAGTGCCATCCTCAGGTGCTTATTCGATTAACACATACCCAGCAGGCCCAGCAGTATAACACACGCAGTCACAGAAGCAAGACACAACATAAAGCACAATACACATACGATAATAGAAAGAGTGCTCCGACAGAAGAGATCAGAGGTGACTCGAAAAGTGAGATACGACGTAGGAAAAATCCTGAACAATTTCAATATTTTTAATATTTGATATTTATCGGTATATATGATAAATATATATTTTAATTATTTTAATATGAAGACAAGGCATGCAGTGAACTAGTTTGACGTTAATCGAATAAGCACCTGAGGATGGCACTTTTGTGCTGAAACATGTAGTGCGGGAGAAAGGAGTGAGGTAGATAAGTGTATGCACTAAAAGACGGTGAAATTAATCATGGACTTAAATCAGTGCAACAGGACGCTCAAATATAACAAAACTTAAATGAATGAAAGGAAAAGTAAATTGAGTGAAGCGATAAATATATGTATTTTTGCGCAATGCAGCCTCACCACATTATAAATGAATGTCCGCTGTTGTAATTGAACAGTCCACTAACCCCGATCATTTGAATGATGCTGTGTACCATCTTCCGTTCCTGAAAGAGAAGACACAAACTGGTCATGATATTTATTCTGCCATTGGGACCTTGTACCGTGGGGATGTGGGAAGTGTAACCGACGATTCTAAGGTAAATTCTACCTATATCTTCAAGGTTGAGGAATCATCATGTATGTCCAAAACGTTGGAAACACTGCCCAAATTGCCACAATGTAAAGATCGAAGAGGACAATCAACATCAACGTTGAAAAACTCTGAAAGCCTAAAATCAGAGTTGCAGGACATCGTGTCTGATTATGACAGAAAAATGACATGACGAAAGCATTCAAATCATTGTCAGTTACATTAAAGAATATGGTTCCGCATAATACAGACAAATTTGGGATATGTTGTTTGTATGAGTTTGAGATTTTTCATTTCATCTAATCCTTCCAGCAGTATTATGGGCCTGGGGTCCACTCAGCATCTAACAGAAATGAGTACCAGGGATATTCCTGGGGGGTAAAGGGCGGCCAGCTGGCGCGTAATGCTGACAACCTTGCCTCCATCCATGAGCCAATTGTCTAGAAAATGTGGGAGCCTCGACATCTCGCATCCCTATGGGCCTCCACGGCCTGTTACAGGAATAACTTTAAATTTTGACCTTGTGATTTTGTTGGTCACTTCTTCTTTGGTTGCACGTGTATGTACTGAAGTCTCAAACTTTCCTCTTAGGTGGGTGTTGTTGCTGATGTTTGGCATGGTTGACTACTATGACTCTGAAGATGGACGTAGCATGTACTTCTAAAATGTGGGCAGCATTGCCGCCAGTGACACAATGTAGCAACCCAAGAACAGAATTAACTTCAACAACTTATCTGCATTCTAACCACAAATCTCATTAATGTAATAGCATTTATGCTAACAGAATTAAAATTATTAGTACCAAACATTTTATCAAAACTTCTTACAGTTTTTACATCATAAGCTCATAACTGTAAAAATAAACTCTTGTAAAAAGAGAAGTTTTGTTTTTAGTATGGTGGAACTACAGGTATTTCACACAGTAACTGGTGGGATGCAACATGCAGAAAGTTGAAAATTACTGTCCCACACAGTACCCAAGCCATATTAGGAACATGTCTGAATATATCAGCTGCTTAGTGCAATGTCTAGTCTTTTAGATCACAAAGTGTAAATGTGAGATTTGAGGTTCTCATGGTGGTGAATATGAACATTGTATTCTTCTGGGATGTGATGTGGTGCAGTCTGGTATGAAGGCACCAATGTTGCGAAAGAAGCTGTAGCCTCCATCTTCAGTGTTGAAGAGTGATTCTTCTGCTCTGAAAATGGAGATAGCAGGTTCCTCCTCTTGTCATATTTGAATCTCATTTTACCCTTCTTCTCTTGTGCTTCCCCCTCACCCTGTCTCTCTTCTCCCAGTCTGCCATTGAAAAATGGCTCTTTAAAGAGACACTGTTCTTTACTCTTCTCCTTCCTTTCACTTCCTGTTGGCTCACTCACACCAATTTTTTCTCTCTCTCTCTCTTTTGCAGTTCTTCATTCCTCCCACTCTGCACTATGAATCATCTCTTGTTACTGCTTTATCTTTTATTCTATGTTGTGTAGTCTATTGAAAATCAACTGACACTTTGGAGGAACATGTCACCTCCATCCTTTGGACAAGCTCTGCTTTATGCTGGTTTCTTGCTTTATCTATTCTTCAACCACAAAGATGGAGGTGACATGTTTCTCCAAAATGTCGGTTCACTTTCAGAGACTACACAGTGTCACATCCCAGAAGACAGGACTCTTCATTCTTTACACTGTTCTCACTCTTACTGGTTTCCTCCAAGGCCCAGTACAAGTCTTTGTCCCTAATCCATACTAGACTGCACAGTGTCATACACCAGAATACAGTCATTGGCCTGATAACTTCAAATATCACAACATTCAACAAGTTTAAAGCGTTTTTTTTTTGTATTTTTTTCCCCCCACTTTGTATATACAATATATCACAATTTTTCTTACCCTCACAAGACATTTCTTTTGTTCTCTAGGCAATGGATGAATTCACAATTAGAACAATTCAAACAGATGATGCAGAAGTTCAAGAATTAGATGAAAAGGACTGTTAGTGTAACAGAATTTAGTGCACAGAGACTAGAAGCTAGCAACTACATCAGAGATCAACAATGCTTGCCACAACATTACTGTCATTATTGCAGCATGCTGGTGATCGTTAAGAACTATGTTGCATTTAAAATGCAATTGTGAGTAAAATGAGCAGATCAGATGAAAAGACAGAAACTGGATGAGAAATTAAGCAGTCTGAAAGACATAAATTCAGTGACAAGCACCAACCTTTTTTTTTTTTAATATACTTTCAACATTAAGTCAAGATTCCTAAAAGTCCACTCTGATCTTAATTTTATCATTGAAACCACTGAAATAGACAAATATGTGTTGTGGTTGTAGAGTTTATATATTGATAGGGATGCTGGTCTCTGTTTTAAGTACTCTGAGGACTACCACACCAAGATAAATTACTAAGGTAATACGAGTATAAATCACATCTTCATATTCAGTAGATATTAAAGGACTTGCAGGGTTTAAGGTACTCACAGTGGTTACTGTGAAGCTTACTGTCTTATGGGATGTGAAAACATGCAGCCAGGTACATTCCGTATTCCGTATTGAGGGGGTGGGTTTCCCCATGCACTTAGACCGGTAACTGGTCCATTGTGTGTCCCCCTTTATTTTCTACTGTCTCCATACCCTACCGGTACTGGTGCTTACTATCAGTCCCTTTCTGCCAGCGATGTTCCAACCTCTTACTGGCAGTGGTATCTAATAGTTAGTCCCTTTCTGTCAGCGAGGTCGTCCCTCCTCTGGCAGGGGTTCCTAGTCCCTTTCTGCCAGCAAGGTTTCTACCCTCTACTTGGCAGTGGTATCTAATACTTTAGTCCCTTTCTGTCAGAGAGGTCCCCCCTCCTCTGGCAGTGGTACCTGATACTTCCCCCATCTACCGGAGGAATTGGAAACTAGTTGTGGGGGAAACTTGGCCTAATTTTGCTCAGAGGTCTCCTAGAGACATGAGGTTCTTTTACGTGCCGTAAATCTACGACACGGGACCCACGGCTTAAAGTCCCTCCTGGAGGACTTGTTCCCTGAATTTTTCCGCCCTTAAAAATTCCACGACCTCCGCTGGGTTTTTGAACCCGCGTTGAGGTGGGAACGTTACCCCTAGACTATGGAGGCCGCTAGCCTGGTACATTATTACCAGTGTTTCAGAGGAATCTGCTGCCTTCATCTACAGGATAGTATTTCTGAAATGGTAGTAACAGTCTACCACATTAAATAGATTTGCATTCCATAACACAGTGATCTTCATTTCAGGATTTGCTCATAAAATCTTACGTGAAATATAATTTAAATTGAGAAGTTACAGTCATTTCAGGCCAAACATGCATTTTTTTAATTCTTCTTCATTTCAGTCCTCATGTTATTTACAGAGAGATTTCACAGTGTAACTCAAATTCATGTTGTCACAAGATTTTAGTACATCTTTCACGCTGGACTATGAAAACTGACAAGAGGCTCAGAAGTTGGAATTCATTCCCCCCCCCCCGCCTTGAATAAACAATACCTCGAACACATCATACATGTTACTTTAATGCTGAACATGAAAGGAAAATGTGATGGGCAATTAAATAAAGCTATTTGGTATTATTCCTCATCTGTCTGTTGCTTTTATTAGGCACCTTTCACACACACATTTTCCATGTTATAAATATAAAGATGCACTCAGATTTTGGAAGAAAAAATTTATGAAAAACTTTGCTGTACATTAAGACTATAACACATGCTTTTCAGGAGCACATTGTATGCTCTGAGAAATATGGTAATCATTTTAGTAATTAGAACAATTGAGTTGTGTCCTCTGAGTATATACAATAACCTTCACAGAATTCAGCATTTAACACTTTGCAGACCGGCAATTTAAATATATAAATCACCCTGGGGACCAGCATTTTTTAACCTACTACCATAACTTGTGCACTGTTCACTTTAAAAATTAATATGAAATCTCCAAATTAATTTTACGAATTAAAAATTTTTTAGAACACTTACTAATGCTCCTAGAAGTGCTTGAGGGTGTGATGTTTCTCGAAACATTGCCCTCTGTGAAGTGGCATTACACAAAATTTGCAAATGTAGACAGTCGTACTCCTTTTCTTGTGAACTGCGCAAACGTGGCTTGCCTAGAAGGATGCTTCCCCTTGAAATGTTCACTCTTCACAATTTTTGCGAGGGTATGTTTCTGCATATCACCCGAGAGTCACCCAGGGGAGGGCAAAATGAGGCCTGCCTGGCGTGGGAGTAGACGGGCCTAGTTGCACTAAGACTGTGTCTGCTGCCACTGTGTGGTCTGTAGCCCAGGCTTTTGCCACATTCAACAGAAATGCCTTGTATTTCAATTTTGAAAACCAAAAATGAATTGAAAATGGCACAATTTATAAGCCACAAGGCAACTTTCTTTGTCCACTTTACTGTTTTCTGAGGAAGAAAATAATAGGCCAAGGACTGATCAGCTCTATCAACTCCCTTCATGAACATATTATACTCGGAAATACAAACAGGCTTCTTTACCTGTCCATGTCTCCTTTGAACATCAACCATGCTTGGAATTGTGAATTGTGGAAATCATATTCATAACAAGAGTATCTGTCCAGGACTGAAGAATATCCCCCTTCCTCCTGAATGTGGTTTCACCATGTTTCAGGGATTTACATTTCTCTTTCAGATCTGGAGGAAGGCCTCTGTTCACCCTAATTGTTCCACAAACACGTACTTTTCTCGAAAGTAGGTGTTCTGCAGTTGCCACAGTTATAATACTTGTCTTGATAGACATGGTAATTTTGATCAAGATAGCGTTCCAAAACGGAAAGAATAGTTTCTTGTAATTTCTTTCCTTCACCAGAATAAAATTCTAAATTTCCAATATAGCCTGAAGTGCTTTCAGTAACTACATGAACAAGTAGGCCATACTTTGTAAGTTTCCCAGGATTATACATTTGCATATTGCACTACTCACTGACAGCTTGCTACGTACAGCTTGAAGAAATGAAGGCATTTATTTTCCTTTGCAGGGGCATACAGTTACAGCGAGGTCACGTAACTGATTAGTCAGCAAACATTCCAGAGGCTTATCACACAGCTGCAGGTAGCTACATGCAAGCTGGGTGGCGCCAGAGCGATGTATAGTGTGTTGCAACTTATTATGTATGCGTGGTCTGCAAAGTGTTAAATATGTTATACAAATATTAATTAACACTTTATTAAGGATATATTAGTTCTTATAGAATTTCACAGAAAACGATCTTCCCATTTTCAATGTAGATAGGCTTATATGGACTAATCTGTCCAGAATTATGAATGATATATCACAAAAATAAATTGTTGCATATGCAACAAGGCAAGATGATTTTATATAGCAGAATAAAAATACTGTACCGAAACAAAATACCTAATGCTGCAAGTAAGGTACATACATGTAGAAGTCAATTCTAAAATGTTATGATAGTGTGTCACTCTTAGGATTCCTGGGATTCTGAACTTCGTCCACTGTCTAGTATTCTCAACAGATTCCAGTGTTTCAGGAATTGGATTTGTTTCTGTCTTTGGAGACAGAGGTGAAAAGGCACCTACTCAGCTAGGTCCACTGAATCAAACTAACCTCATTCACTTTATGAAGTTCTGTTCTATTCCAGATACTTGTCAGTAGATCAACTCCAAAACACCAGTAATCCTAATGATACATGTAGACATGAAGTCACAGCATTTATAAGTGAAAGGAAAATGTAAATGTAAAATTTATATCATGAATACTGCTTACTATTCAGTAAGAATTCTGGCTTTACCCATTCTACACTTGCATATTTACGTATCACCATCCTCATTCTCATCATTTCCATTGTATACAAATCAATAGACAAACAGTCTCCAATCTTTTCTTCTCAATCTGTTGCCGGTTCCTTCTACTCTTATTGATGTATTTCAGTACATGAGTTAACCATCTTGTTCTGGTTCATCCCATAGGTCTCTTTCCTTGAACCTTTAATTCTAATACCGTTCTTCTGTTCTTTTCACATGCCCAAGCCATTGTAATATTTTTTCTGACCATAAAAAATTCTGAACACCAGCTTTTTCTTTAAAAATTTAATTTCTAATATATTTACATATGATACAGCTAAATTACAACCATTTATAATTTCAAACAGATCGCATAGCCAGGACATGCATGAGTGCAATATACGACTGAACTTACAGCATAATATAAATGGTTCAAATACTGCAAAAATTCTATAGACTTGTTCTTGCCTGCTTCATAAATAAGTATTGCAGATTAAAGTATATATACCCTTTACCTCAAGCTCAAATATAGAAATATGACTGTCCATAACTGATATAATGTTCCGTCCCTAAGGATTTTTAAAGAACAAATACCACCTTTCTTCCAACACTGGACTACTCTTCAGATTTTTACTTTTTAACTAATATAAACATTCTGATAATCATATATTTATTTCTGATTTCTTCTTCAAGGAATAGCACCTCAACAAGGAGACCCAGTTCAGCCAACGATATTCTGAACTGGGTATGAATAGCTTCATTCTTCTTCACTGCTACTTGAGCTGCTGGAGCTGCTTCCATGATGAAATCCTTTGTGGAGGGCATAAGCACCTAAACCCAATCCAGCAACTGGAAGGCCATACTTTAATGCCTTTTTACGAGCTTTTTTCTGTGATTTGAATGCCTTTTTCTGAAAAACGAACAAATGATCAGGATTATGTTATGATATATTTCAAGGTTCTTTACTGTATTTATACTAGACCTATAAAAAGTAAGTTAGATGACCAATTAATTTTGTAACTGCGTTTATTCTTCTGAATAAAGAGTAAGTTCCATCAAGTGCAACAGTTTTTAATATGAATAAAACTTTTACATGTTTTGCAAGGTATAGGTCATCATCAGAAGATCAATATCAGCCAAAACATGTAAAGGTTTTTTTATTCATATTAAAAACTGTTGCACTTCATGGAAATTGCTCTTTATTCATATGCTATAAAGTGTAATGGTTCAAAAAAGTGTCAAAAATATGTAATTCTTCTCTTTTTAAATGAATCAGTTAAGACTGAAGTGTGTGCACAGTTGTTAATTCCGCTGCACTCATTTGTTAATATGTGAAACATCTAAGCTGAAAGCTTGTCTTCCTATTGAGAACTCTGTGGACACTAGTCTTGGGCTATGTATACAGACTGGATAAAATCTAGAACTGTCTTTTATTCCCATCTTCAGATTTCAAATAACAGTGCACTCATTACATGTACTAATAAAGGGAGAAAACATGAATACAATTTGAAAAATACAGATAATCCTTGTTTTGGATATGATCAGGAGACTATGGTGTCCAATTTGTTCAGTGATTTTTGAAAAGAGTACGACTTATGGAAAACTACTGAACATAAAGTGTGTCTTTCATTTCTCTCTCTATTTTGTGTTTGAAACATTTCACATTCCAGTTAATGAGTTGCACTCAAGATACACACAGAGAAGCATACACGTCTTCGTGTAAAGTAGTTTTTAAAAACTTTCTGATCTAAATGAAAACTGAAATGGCTTCACAATTCTTTATAAAAATTTCAGATTATCACATTTCATGAAAATTCATCCAGTGGTTCTCAAGATTTTTTCATGTGGACAGACTGATTGATGGACAAGCTGAGCAACCTTAACAGGTGCTCCTCAGGGTTGCTGCAAATAATACAAAAGGCTCGTGGACAAGCTGCAAACTGGATAATCTACGCACAGATAATCATGAGTGTATACCATGTAAGTTTATTATCTAAAAAACAACAAATCAGGTAATATTTTTTCAGTTAAAGTTTGTTTCCATTATCAAATTACTGAGTGGCAACTGTCACTTCTACCCTAATTTCAATAAAATTAAATGTTTTGGAACACTCCAAATGAGTACTCCAGTTCTGACTGTGTATACCTGCATGGGAACAATGTAACATGCACAACATCCATGAATCTGAATAACTTCTGGTGACATTCCCTATGAGCTAAGGCCCTATTATATTATATATTATTATTATTATACAGGCCCTATTATATTATTACAATTGTGAAAACCTAATGCAATTAATGCATTTATTATCATGCTCAAAACTGTGAGTTTACCTGCTAGGTCAGCTGTTTTTCAACAAAAACTGGATTCTGAATTTACTACATTCAAAACATAAAAGGAAGAGAAAAAGACAAAAACAATCAGAAATCGCTGTATATTTTGTCTCTTTTTAGCTTCAACAAGCTACACTTTAAGTTTCTCTGCATCTGAATGACATCTGCAGGAGAAATCACATTTGCATACATAGTGACAACATTCTGTCACTTGAAAGAACTGGCATTGGCAAAAATTAAAATTTTTCAGGTGATGGGAATGGCACTGAATGTGTTCACCATTCTGAAAATATACAACTTGCGCATGACTTTACATGTTCTAATCTGCTGTACTCGATTCACATGATTTCTCAGTTAACCCTTCAAGGCACTATGCATAGTATTCTTACAGCAATAGGAATCAGTCATGTCACCTAGCCATCCAACTTGTCATTGAGGAACTGGTATAACGTGGGCCCTTCTATCCTGAAGATGAAGACAGCAGATTCCTCCTAAGCACTGGTACCGACCTACAACATGGCTTCATGACCCAGAAGATCACGTTAATCTGTACTTTTCTGGAGTGTTGAAAGAACCACTAATAATATATGCAGGAACTTACTGGGCTCAGGTGTCCTGTCAGCGCTGCACCCACCACACCTGCGCCCAGCGCTGTCCCCATAGTGCCCATTCCACCATGACCATGCTGAGATTTCTTTAAAATCAAAAATAAAAAAAGTTCATAAAAATGAAGAGATAGAAGGGACAGTGACACAATATAACACCAAACAGTTTAAGAACTTAATACAACTAGAAACGAGATTTACCTAAGTAACTTGGCTCTTTTCCTTTTACACGAAAATGAGAGTCAGAGCTAGCCTCTGAAAAGACATGGTAAGTCTCTATCCGGGCACTGAACACTGTACACCCCCAAACCTTCAATGGTAATGCTAAATGATTATCACAAAACTACTTCACTGATATTAAAAGTAACCAAGTGGAAACTTTATGATCATAATCTTATGAAATGTGACACCAAGTAGTCTGGTAGATATTTACTGACATTTTTACACTGATGCCTCCTTATTCTACCCTGAAGATGGAGGTAGCAGATTCCTCTAAAATATTAGCAATGATCTATCAAATTACATGGTGTCACATCCCAAGACAGTAATCTTCATAGTCATGGCTATTAGAACTTCAGATCTCACAACTGGAAATTTACAGTGTAAACAATAGAAGAGTTACATTTTTTAATTTTCCCTGCCATTCTTAATATATTACATTTAGTATTTAGGCAACATATAAATTAATGGGTCTGATGAGCATCAGGATAGAATGACATCAAATTAATCCTAGAAACATTCAGAAGGGCCAGATAACAGACTCTTGCAAATTATGAACCTCAGGACTGTCTACAAAGCGTAAAATACTTCCACAGGAAAAGAAGGGAACAAAAAATGCGTCACTTCCAAGCCATGTGGAATATTTAATAGGCACAAAACACAGATATTAAAGCGTGACACACACACATATATATTTGCAAGAAAATGCTACCGTAAAACGACTGTAGAAATATTCAAGTTCTATCACATAAGCAATTGAGATATCCCTCATTTAATGTAGCAGCAATTTTGATATAGCATAATTTGGAAAATGAAAATGGAAGTATGCTGAGCAACATCGTATATAACCTGCAAGATGTCTGAATTTCTCATTGCCTGGGGTGCCATATGAACTTGCAACAACCTTGGCAGCTATGTCATTTGTCAATTTTGAAATATGAAAGAGAGAAAAAGTATGGTAAAATACAGACCAGACTGTAGCCCCATCACAAAATGACATAATTTCCTTAGTCTAATAGCGACAAGGTGTTTACATGAATACTCTACCTTCTTTGCAAACACAGCAAACCCACAACTACGCAAGAGTCTTTTCAATTACAAGTACCGCTTACAGGAAAATGTCATCCACCCTTCTTTTGGAATCTATGCAGTAAGCTAGACGAGGAACATTTCTGAAGCGAATGCCATGAAGTGGTTCCTTCATCTTAGGAATCAAGTCAAAGTCACAAGGGCTTAAGTTCGGGGAGTATGGTGGATGGTACAGCACTTCCCAGCCCCATCAATCAAACAAATCACCCACAGCTTGCGCTGCATGCAGCCAACCACTGTCCTGCAAAATGATGGGTGGGTTCTGCAGAAAGTGTTGCCGCTTCTTTCTCAAAGCTGGTCACAGGTTGTGTTCCAAAAATGAATAGTAATACTGCGCACTGGTGGCCTGCTGTCGGGGAATGGTATGCGCGAGGATAACACCATCACAGTCGTACACGAGAAACACCGTAACTTTCACACTGCTGGGGTTCTGACGAACTTTTGATTTTCATAGTGACCCATAACGAAGCCATTCGTTTGATTGGCGTTTAATTTGTGGCTCGTACGATTTGGCCCATGTCTCATCCAGCATAATGATACAGTGTAAGAAAGCCTCTCCTTCGTGCTCATAGCACTCCAAGTGGTTACTAGCAGTGTCGTATCTTAGCCATTTCTGTAAATAATGCAGAAACCATCGTGATGCAATTTTTCTCATGCCCAGGCATTCCTTCAGAATGTGAAGCACAGTCATATGCGCTAATCCTGTCTCTTGGGCCAGCTCACAAAATCCTATGGCGTCGATCACTCTCCCGTAATGCGGAAAGAGCATATACTTCTTCTTCACTGACACCAGGATGACCTGGCCGACACATGTCTGCCACATTTTGGTGTCCCTCGTTGAAGGCTTTTACCCACCTTGCCACTGTTCTGTAAGGCAATGCAGATTCCCCGCAAGCCTCTTGAAGACCTTGATGACACTGTCATGCTGTATGGCCTCTGGCACATTCAATCTTTATCCAACTCTGTTGTTCCTGTTTCGAAAACATCGTGATAACACTACATTAGACCACCAGCTAACACGAGGCTCTGTTCTTCTCATCACTGCGCATGCGCGTGATGTGGGAAGGGAGAGTTCATTTGCTCTGAGGTAAGGTAGGTATGTAACTAACGTGTGGTATAAGTGACATTATTTGTTCCGTTGCATGGCATCTCTACAGCAGTGTTGCCACTATTAAAGTTCCAACCCTCATGTATATATATAACCGATAAGAATTTATATTAGGGAAAAAAAGTCTACTACAATGAAACTCTGATTTTGCACTCACAGTTTTCAATGTTTTTCATGATTTTACACAATTTTTTCATTTTGTTCTGCCCAAATACATATTAGACCAGTGTTAAATTTTAACCAATTTTATGTTTGTCCAAACTCGTGTTTTTTCCAAAATTTGTACTTCCTTTTTCAAGTCATGGGAATAAAAATTTACTATATTTTATGTTTACAATGTTCTGATTTAGAAAATTCAAAGACGGAGTGTTGCCATCCCACTCACACCCAAGGTCCTACCATAATAAATAGGCACACCTACTCGTATTCATATGAGACTGCCTCTGTGGTCTAGATGTCAAGAGTTCCTGGCCATAGATCCAGAGGTCCAGGTTCGATTCTCGGCAATACCAGATTTTCTGAGAAGTGGTGGGTCTGGAATGGGGTCCACTCAGCCTCGTGAGGATAATTGAGGAGCTATTTGAAGGAAATAGCGGCTCTGGTCTAGAAAACCGACATTAAGAGCCATGGGGATTCATTGCGCTGACCACGCGAAACCCTCTATCTGCTAAAATTGGCACTAACTTTGCCGACAACTGACAGTCGCTCGGTCAGTATAGTTTACTTCCAGACTAAAACCACAGTTCTTTTATACCTTTCCACATGATAGTTTTTGCACCTCATATGAGACGGGGGGGGGGACAAATGCCTCATTTGACTAGTTAAAGAAAGAACATGATATGTAGGTTAGTGTATTTTTATGTACACTGTTACATGCACATCACAAATGGCTTGCCAAAGTTATGTTATGAAGCAACAGACATTTTTCTTTATACTGCATCACCCTCCTTTCCCTTATTTTACACTTTACTTGAGTTATGTTTGTTTTAGGCAGTCCCTTCAAAAGTGTAAAATCAAGGCTTCACCTGTAATGGGGAATAACAAAGATACAATATTTCTAATTTCTACAATACTTCATGTTATGGAAGCTAAATAAAAATATTTTATTTGGAGCAGGGATAGCTCAGTTGATTAGGGACAGACTATGGGCTTGAGAATTTTCCCTTCTCCACAGTGTCTAGACTGGCTCTGGGGCTGATCTAGCCTCTTATCCAAAGAGAACCAGAGGCGCTTTCCCCTGGTGTAAAGTGGCTGTGTCATGAAGCTGACCACTCACCTCCATCTAGTGCCGAGGTCAAGAATGGTGGAGCAATACCTCCATTCTCTCATACTTCTTCCTGGCACGGTGCTTAATTAATTAAGCACAGGGATAACTTATCTTTCAACATCGTTTTATTTAATCTCAATTATATGTAATTTTTTCTACAAGCAATTCCATACAGAGCACAGCAGCTATAAACAGAACCGAAAAATACTCACACCACCTGTTATCAGTGCACCTGCTTTGTTTAACAACCCCTGAATGCCCTTATCTGAAGATGAGGTTTGGGCATATCCTGGTGGTGGAGGCTGAAAATAATGAAATCCACACAAGAGATATCCTATGGCCAATAAGCAAGGAAGTGCACAAGAAATGTCACTGAAACAACAATGTGTGAAGCAAACACTGACATCTAAGCAAGTTAGAGCTTACCCCTAGTTCCAGAAGAGAAAGTAATTCATGCAAATTATGCTAAGTCATATTTTACACACAGAAACACTGTATTCACTCCAAGTCTTAACTTCATTATATTCCCAAACCTAGGATTTGGGGTTATAACGAACTGTACTCTGAATTTAGATATTTATGGTTCGTATTTTAAATGGTGAAAGCACTGAAAATGCAACCAACACACACTTTAAGGGAATTATTACAATGTAAAACTGTGAATTCATTACATGTATCACTGTTGGGAATGATAGTTATGGCATCATTAAGTCACTTGAAATAGCATCTTAAAAATTAAGCACTTGGAACTAAGCAGACAGCAACGTGTTAAGCCCCATTTCCAGTTATGTGTGTTTTTTAATCAAACATGCTTTAAGAGAAACAACAATGGGAATGCAACACAGGGATGATAGCATTTCTTTTATTTGTGGTATCTTTTTTAAACTGGAAAGTTAATACACATTTTATTATATAAAGTTTTGAAATTTTCTTCTAATAGCAGCCAGGATCACACAAAGGGTCCTTTCAAAGATAATGCTTACATATTCTACAGAGAATTATCCATTTATAGATGTAATTTTTGTTTCTCTACTCACATTAATTCCATGGTCAACAATTTAGGAAAAGTATGCATTGCATAACAATTCTGGCTCTCTTTTGTCAAATTATTTCAAAAGAAACAAAGTTTATATTGTAATAAAGTAATGGTTACAGCAGAAATTTCAATTACATCTGAATTAATTACACATGTATATATACATGCAGATCTATAAATTCAGAATTTTACACTACCATAATTGTATCAGTTTTCTCTTACTCCTTCAACAGCCAACTCATGAGTTCAAACACACGTAAATAAACATAAGACTAAATGACAAAATTCAAAGAGAACATGGATTTGTGACTTACAGGATAATTCCCAGGAGCATAACCCTGTCCATATGGTGGCTGGTAAGCATAACCACCAGGAACTGGATCTGGTGGTGCACCATAAGGCACTGCACCTGGAACTGTTGGATATATCGTAGGATTTGTGGGATATGGCTGAGATCCTGGTACAGGGAGGGGTGGAACAGGGGCCATGGGAGGTGGAACAAAACCCACTCCTGTACCAGGAACACTACTTCCACCTTCATATTGAATAAGGGAAATTGTTACCTCGCCATCTATGGCAAGGTGACTCACTTTCTGGTAAGGAATTCGGTGACCAAATTCAGTGTAATGTTGCCCGTTCACTGCAATCTGAAAGGGAACAGAGAAACATCTACCTCAAGTAAGAGTATGAAATGTCTCTGTTTACTTAAATATCCTTAAAAACAAGTATGTGTTGTTGCTTTTTGTTTTTTTCTTTGTTTTGCATGCTTATGGTCCCATTTGTGCACATCAACCCTCTTCCAACACTTCCAAACTGAATCATAATATCTTTTGCAAGCAGAAGTACCTGTTGAAGGGCATAATCTTCTGGGCTGTAATGCCATGTAGCTTGGTAGAACTCCACCCATATTCTGAAGTAACATATTTCCATCTTCATGGCTGAAGAGTAAATCAGCAAGGTGGCAGCAAGCAAACAGAGTGGCTTACTCTTCAACCCTGAAGATGGAGGCGTTACATTCTTCTGAAACATTTGTCGACTTTTACAAACTACATGGCAGTACAACCAATGAGAGTACTCTACATAAGCACTGCTGTGGGAACCTTAAATCCAATAGAAGTACCTGTTTTTGCCACTACCATTTAATTTCAGACCATGTGGTACATTACCCTCATTTAAAACATTTTATTTTGATTTACCTACTTTTATTTCTGATGGTTAAAAAGTGTTTTTTATTATAAGAGCTGACAGAATTTCCATAGGCACAGATCTCCTGTTAAAACATGTGAATCAATGGAAAAACATGGTTCATGTTGCCACATCTCTTGATATGGACACATCTGCAACAACACATCCTGTCTGTAATGCAAGGGTGTGACATAACTTAAAGGCATTTTCCAGCAATTGGCTTGTGACACATAAACGACAGACACAATTCGTAATTTTACTACACAATCGGAGCTGTAAATGAGAAAAGACAACATCCAACTGAACAAAATAATCATTGTATAAATTAACACTCACTTTTCTTAATACATACCTTATAGTGAGTTGGGTCACAAAGTATAATTATTTCAAATCCCTGTCCTCGTGATAAAGGCATGTGACCATGATTTTCCTCAACACCCCAAGCCATGTTCTGTAATGAGTTCCTTGTAATATAACTTTCATTGAAACGAGGGGAAACATGCAATGCAATATCATCTCGAGGTGATGTACGTGGTCCGCACTGGAGATTAATGGCAAACCTACAACATACAAATGCTGAATAAAAATAGCTGCCATAAATTAAAATAAATTACCACTACAGGGAAAGTATAACAAATTCTGTTACAATAAGGCTCAAATATAAGTGAAACTCGTCAGGAGGCAAAATATTGTCTCCCTCAGCAAAAAAGGCACAATTATGAGCTGAGACCATTTCAACCATCAGTGCAAGATCAAATTCTGGCCTTTGTTTTATCTAAACTTTTAACAAGTTAATTTCCCTCTTAAACAAGGTTCATGAAATGCTCATATTGCTTCTTCAGCCTCTAACTCAAACGAGTATCAGGAATCTTCCTGGGGGTAAAGGGCAGCTGGTGCATAAGGCTGACAACCTCACTACCATCTGTGAGCCGCGTGTCTAGGAAATGTGGGAGCCTTGACATCTCATAACCCTATGGCCCTCAAGGGCCTGTTACAGGGATATCTTTACCTTAGCTCATTGCCATCTGTGAGCTGACTGTCTAGAAAACGTGGGAGCCTCGACATCTCACAACCCATGAGCCTCCACAGCCGGTTATAGGGCTAGCTTAACCTTCTACCGTTTACCATATATAACCATATGCCTGTGATCATAAAGCAGTCAGTCAGCTCTGAATATGTGATCTGGCTTCTTCATTTTTGCTATTTCTACCAGCACTGATTTTGACATTTCATAACTACATATAACATTGCTGCGGTGGCGTAGTTGGTTGAGGCACTATGCTACAAGCCCGAAGGTCACAGGATCAAATCCTGATGAGGTGTGTGTGTGTGTTTTATCTTCCCCCCCCCCAGTTTACCTAATCCTTCCAGCCACACTGTGGCCATGGGGTCGACTCAGCCTCTAACAGAAATGAGTACCAGGAATCTTCCTGGGGGGTAAAGGGCAGCCAGTGCCTAAGGCTGACAACCTCACTACCATCTATGGGCTGAATCTCTAGAGAATGTGGGAACCTCAACATCTCACAACCCTATGGGCCTCCACAACCTGTTACAGGGATACCTTTACTTTTTTTTACCACTCAAAATAAATAAGCAGGAAAGTATGATGTAGAAAAATGTAAAACAAAGCAATAAATACCTATTTGCAGATGGTAGGACCGTTCCCTGGATTCGGACCATTTTACCAGGATACAAGCCTCCATCTATGTTTGCAACGTAAGGAACACCCTAGAAAATGTTTATAATGTACTTAAATAGGGAGAAACACTTCATTTAGATCAGAGAACACTACTGACAGTTGCATAAGCAACAAAGAAATAATTACATACATATCTGAAAAATATGGAAACATCTTTTGCACAAATCCTACTTCTTTTAAATACAAATTTCATTTTTTAAGTAACTTTACTTCAGTTTCATTCTGCATAATTATAGCTTCCAAATTTAGATAAGTTGTAGCTAAGATGTGTTTCATATTATCACTTCATAATTGGATAAAAAAAAAGTTAATTTCATTTCTAAATTTCATAGACATTCAGAAGCATACACACACACAAACCTCCACACTTAACAGTGAAAATCCACATAAGACTACAAAATTAATTTTGGTTAACACCTAATCTGAATGTATCATACACTAATGATAGGCACTTCATGCTGTCCATGTAATTATTAAATATCAGACTCAATGGATTTTACAAGAATGGTAGTCATATACAGAATGTCCCAGGAGGAATGTGCCAAACTTCGGGAGGGTGTTCCTTATGTTAAAGTATGCCGATATAACCCAAAACACCTATGTCCAAAGTTGAACGGTTACNATGGCGAGCGAGTATTTTGTACTTCACTTTTATGGCTTTCCGTCACTCACAAGTTAGTTTGATGTTACGTACATTATTAACATTACAGAATCCACATATTCCTGCCAGTTTTAATATGTATTTTGTAATCAACAAGTGTGTAACCCCGGTCAAAGTTTGACACTTCTCTGGCCATTATCTCCGTAACCGTTCAACTTTGGACATAGGTGTTTTGGGTTATATCGGCATACTTTAACATAAGGAACACCCTCCCGAAGTTTGGCACATTCCTCCTGGGACACCCTGTATATGTTTAATTTTAAGAACTACAAAATACAAATGTAGGCTTTTATAATTGTAAGTCAAAATCCACAAAACTTGCTCAAAATATATCTTGATCAGGTGAATATAATAAATTAGAAATTATGGAAGGTAACAATAATGCTTGTGTAATATGGTCCTGTACAAGTTCAGGCTTACATTTTTTATAAGAAATCCTTAAAGAATAGCAATGATAAGCGCACAGAGATAGTCAAACCCTTCACCTGGTTCCAAATGTGGAAAGAATGGAAAAAACCCAGGGGGTTGGCTACAAGGACAACTAAAATTAACAATCAAGTTCCTTCCGTCAAATGTGACTAAAAGTGTCACATTTGACGGAAGGAACTTGATTGTTAATTGGTTAGTGTGACGGACCAGAATGAAAGACCTTAGACAACTAAAATATTTGTGCTATAAATTTACTCAAGTTTTCATAACCACTTTTTAATGCCTGGTTGGCAATGAAGAAATTTCCACCTTCGCTATTTTATTCTAATCTTTTATTTGTTATATAAATCACATGTAAAACAAACTTACCACATTGTAAGCAGGCGGGGATGTCATAGTGCAAGCAATGGCAACTTTTACTGGAAAGAAACGTACAATAATTCCTTTTTTGAGTTCCAATGCTGCCAAGTAAGCATTCAATTCTGTTACTGTGTCCTGCTTGGAATATACAAATACACACTTCAAACACAAATGAAGCAGCATGTCAGTTAATATTCATAAGGATTCATCTTTGATTCTGGGTGCACAGTGCTACTAATGTATGCCACTAACCTTTAAAGAACATTTCAACATGTCCAAAAAGGTACTCTTGTTATGATGCAACAAATCATAACTATCTTCAGAGGCCTATCTTTAATTCTTGGGGCCTTAAATAACCCTGCATCATGTGGTTTATAATACTTTGCTCCTCATTGTTTGGACATAAATATAATAATTTTTTCTTTTATTTCTAACATCAAAAAACATCTTAACTATGATAACCCATTATATTTTTTTATGAAGTCAAGTGTGGGATCAAAACTCAACAATTTTGTGAAATTAATATTTCTCTCAGTCAGGCAAACAATTCATCGCTTTAAACTATGCCTGACAGTTTCTGACAATGGTGCATAATCATTTTAAGTGATGTTTTGCACAATGTCCATCATTCCACAAAGTTTTGGAAACTAGTTGTTTTCCTTCTTCATGTGACACGATGAAGCAAGGAATCCTGTTCTGAGTGGCCTATTGACAGATTTAAGGGGACCAGATAGACTATAGCTCTGCCAGGCAACCGACAAAGTATGAATGCTCACAGCAGTCTTGAGCAAGGTGTACAGAAAGAATGTAAATAGCCACTTAATGAGTTTTTGTTTGTAGAATGTGAATTTACAATAACAATTTGCAATTTCATGTCATGTCAGATATCTTGTCCTGTCTGCAATTTGTTGATTAACAAGCTATAGCAACAGGGAAGTAAGTTTCCCATAACAAAGATGTAAACTTGTGGAGTTTTTCTATGATAGATGAAAATTATCTTTGGTTATAAAATGATACTGATTCTGCAACATCACACAAGATGGACAAATGCCAGGTTTCAGGGGTTATACACGCAGAACATTTGCAAGATGCTGCTCAAATGCTTACAAATATGATAGGCCAATATGAAGAGCAAACCAGATTTTCTCTTTGGAACAGATGTACTGCAAAACAAACATTAAAAACATGTTCATCATGGCATAGTATGCTTTAGATTAAAACGAAATCCTACGGTATCATTATGAGCACAATGAATCATCTTCAATATACAGGGTGTCCATAAAGTCTCTTTACAATTTTAAAAATTTATTACAAAGGAAAATGAATAGAGAGATAAGTGGAAATTATTACAACATGAGACGTATATATTTAAGTTTTTTTGCCTCATTTAATACACCTCTATATGGGCACCATTAGTTGCACAATGCACATCAAGACGGCACTCGATTTCTTGCCATGTTTGCTGTAGCATACCCTCATCAGTGGTGGCAATGGCATCAGTGATCCTCTGCTTTAGATTAGTGATGTCCCATGCCTTTGTTCAATACACGATATCTTTAACATAACCCCATAGAAAGAAGTCAAGGGGAGTGATATCTGACGAATGAGGTGGCCAGGGAATTGGGCCACCCCTTCCAATCCACCGGTCTGGAAATGTTTCATTTAGGAACCCACAAAAATGCAATCCCCAATGTGGTGGTGGAAAATGCTGGAAAATCATGGTTGGTTGAAGGTCATGTAGTTGTGGTGCCATGTATTCAGTTAAAAGATCAAGGTAAACATTTGCAGTAACTGAAGGCTCGTTGAAGAAAAATGGACCAATGATTCGACTGCACATGATCCCACACTGCACATTCACCTTTGGACTATCTCGCTGAAGTTCCCTAGTCACATGAGGGTTTTCTGATCCCCAGATTCTCACATTGTGTGTGTTCAGTTTCCCTGAAACATGATGCAGTTAACATGGTTGAACGAATGTTTGTTTCATGTTTCAGAGAAACTGAACACACACAATGTGAGAATCTGGGGATCAGAAAACCC